AGCAGTGCACTGAATGAGCCATGGCCCAACTCTAATTTATTTTTTGAAATGTATATTACAGATAACACACGTTTAGTTGTGTGTGTATGTCCAGTATTTGCCCAAATCTAATACATATAACAGGCTGTTTGTGAAAACTTTTTTCTGTTCTTCCCATTCCTTGCAATCATGTGTTTGTTTTCAAATGCTCTTTTAGACTGTCCATCTGGTATTGCAATAATATATTATCTTTCAGTCTAGCTTTGTAACTCATTCTACATGAAAGATAAAAAACTAAAATCACTGAAAGATTTATCTGCCTCTATCCAGTGTGTGTGTAAATCAGTTTCACTATATTTTTGTGGTTCTGCGCTCCAACCTAGGAGCCACATATTCTTAGGATGAAATCTTCCACGGAGTTACATCCCTAAATCTCCTTATTTGTTTTTGTGGTTTTCGAAACAGAGTTGTACTCTGGTCCAGGCTTGTCTAGGTACCGTGGTGACCTGCCTTCTCAGCCCTTTAGTGTTGGGATTATAGGGATGAGAAGCCATGCTCACCTATTTGTTTTCAGTTTGAGACAGGATTTTACTGTGTAGACCTGGCTGGCCTGGAACATGTTATGTTGACCAGGCAGGCAAAGCACTCAGAGATCACCTACTTCTGCTGTGAGTGCTGTGACCAAAGGCTGGCCCTGTTTCCTTCAAATAAATAAGTACAATTATTTTATGTATATGGGTATTGTGCCTGCCTTTCTGTCTGTGCCTGATGTGCATGCCTGGTGCCCAGGGAGTTCAGAAAAGGTTGTCAGCTTCCCTGGAAGTGGTGCTTACACAGTTGTGAGCTGCCATGTTGGTTCTGTGAATTGAACCTAGGTTCTCTGGAAGAGTACTCACAGCTTCATGAGTGTGCACATTCTCGTTCCTTCCTGCACAGTCCCTCATAAACAAATAACTGAGTGCTACCTGAGACCCTCTGGCAGCTACTCAGATGCACTCCACATACTCTCCACCCTAACTGTAACCCTCCCCTAGCCCTAATCCTAACTCTAACCCTAATCCTAGCCCTAGCCCTAGCTGTAACTGTTGAACCATCATTTTGGTCCTGTTTTGTTTTGGAGACAGGATCTCACTCTATACCTGGAACTGGAGATAATCTTCAGTCTTCCTAACGCTGGGATTACAGAAAGGAATTTTCATACCTGTTTTAAAATTTGTTAAGCACAGAAATCTGCCTCCAGAGCTCTGGGATTAAAGGCTGTGCAACCTCACCCAGCCTTGATAGGTTCCTGTTTTGAGAGCAGTATATGGTATATGATGGCCTGGCACATGTGCGGTATGAGGTTGCTACTACCACAGAAACCAGCTTAAAGAACATACTGAGAAATGCAGAGAAAACAGTCTTAGGTAGGCTGAGAAGAGTCAAGAAGACAACGGATCAAGCTGGTCATGGAGTTTCAGGTGAGCCTGGACTATACAGCAAGACTCACTTTCAAGCAAAACCCAGCAAGTGTGCATTTTTCCCCCTTACATTTGTCTTTCAAGCCTCAAGACTCTTTGTGACTCATATATAACTTGTAGCCCTAGGCCAATATTGTCAGCAAAAATTCTCTACCTGAATATTTAAGTTGGAACATTTAGACTGTTCATTTTGTAATTTCTGAGTGGCCACTCTTCTGTTAGCTGGAACTAAACAGGTTTTTAATGCAGTTGCATCCACTTATCTATACCTAAAATTGGTCATAGTATCCAATCTCCATGTTACATTATCTTCATTACTATTTTAATTTAGAATTATTATTTATTAATATATTATAATTCAAATTATGTTGTTATTTTAGTGTTTTTATATTTTTAACTTACAATAGTATTTAAGATATTTACAATCATAATGCATACTTTCCAGAAGTAATCTGCAGTCTTTTTTTTTAAATTTCTATATGTAGTCACATTGAATTAAAAAAATAGGTCAGTAATCATACATTGTACTGTAGTATTTTGTTTTGTCATTTTAAATATATTATTTCATGACATACATCGTACATTCAATATTCTTTTTTAACATTTGTAACCACTGTATGGATACACCATGATTTTGCTCAGTTTCTTATTGATAATTGATGTCATTATAAGTTATAAAAGTAATATGGGAGTTGTGTCTTGTGGACAGGATGGAATAAAGCCCCTCAGTTCTGCCTCAGTTTTTCTGAGATGTGGTCTTAGGCTATATAGCCTTGACCACAACATTCAAATTCTCAGTCTGCTTCAAGCTCTCAAGTGATAGCAGGCTTTCTAACCCAGGTTCTGACAAATGACCTTAACTTGGCCAACTACAAATTTATTTTTTGCCTAAGTTAACCACAATATGACTGTACTTGTAATCAAAGACCCCTAAATTGTTGCAGGCTTCTTTAATGTAATCTTTTCCTATTTTGAACTAGCCTGCTAACAGTTCCTTAAACATGTTGGGTTGTTAGGTAAATATTTCATAGGCTATTTTTAATATGTATTCTGTAGTGTTGTCATCTATTATACGCAAGGGCAAGGCTTTCTCCATCTTGTTGAGAGTCCCAAGTGCCGTACTATTTACCACAAACTTCTGATTGCTTTTTGAGTCAGGCTGTGTAGCCTTGGCTGGCTTGGAACTTATTACATAGACCAGGCTAGTGTCACTCCTAGAGATCTGCATGTTCTGCCTAGTCATTAAAGGCTAAAGGCATGTACCACCACACCTGACCCCCACAAATTTTTGAGATAAAATTCACACTGTGGAATTGCCATGCTGGTTTCCCTCTGGCCTTGGGGTATCCAGACCTCCATTTTGCAGCGGTGCTGGAAGGAATGCAGTTTAACCAGGAGGCTAGTACGGTTAGTACGACCTCAGTTTAGTGGTGAGTGCCAGGGGAGAAGCTGCCTTCTCCAAGAGGGTTTTCAGTGGAACAGCTCTTCTGTATTTTGGAGGAATAAGGGCTATGTAAACCTTGGGGAAGTGGGTAGGGGTTTAGGGGTTGAATGTACATCATTGGCTGGGACTGAGGTGCTTGGAATGCTTCATTTGCATGGAGAGGAATTCCAGGTGATAGCTGGACATGTCCCAAAACCTGGTCACCAGGCTATTGCAAGGGTGGCAGACGTCTTGAGGCTATGTGCCCCGGGGCACGCAGGGCCAGAACAGGGAGGGAGGGATTCTTACTCCTGCCAATCTCAACATGAGATTTTTGGGGTTTGGACGTGACCTCACTATTGCTCCAGGCTGGTTCCCCTGGTCCCATGACTCAAAATCTGCCGGTTTCTGCCCAGTGATTAAAGGCTAAAGGCAGCACAACACCCCTGACCCTCACAATTATTTGAGATAAAATTTACACAATGGAATGAACAATTTTTAAGTGTAAACAGAATGCGGTGTCACACTTATAATATTCCAGCTCTTAGGAGGTAGAGGCATGAGTTCAAGGCCAGCATATGCTACATAGCAAGTCTCAGGTCAGTGCCGGCCACATGAGACACTATCCGAGAACAACAAAAAAAAGGTACAATTAAAAAGGACATGTTAGTACAAATGATTGTGCAACTATCAACTGGTATCTAGTTCCAAGACCGTAAATGATTTGAAGTCAAAGCATTTTCAACCTCTGATTTATTTTCTTTAATTCTGTGTGTGCGTAGATTATTTTGGGTTATGTTCATATGTGTGCATGTGAGTGCGGGTGTTTTAGGAGGTTAGAAAATGTATCTGAGCACCTGGAGCTGCAGTATAAGCTGGAGTCCAAAGGTGAAGTTAGAAACTGGTCCACCAGCCCTTTAATCCCAGCAGTTGGGAGGCAGAGGCAGGCGTATCTCTTGTGAGTTCGAGACCAACCTATTCTGCAAAGCCAAGTCCAGGCCCCATAGAAATTGTATTACACAGAGAAAGCAGTCCTACTCAAGAGCAACAAGTACTCTTAACCTCCGGGCCATCTGTCTAGCATCCATAAATTTTGTCTGTGGTTCATGTAATTAAAAAAAAGTCTAACCACTCCACCTTTCTTTCTAGATTATTAATTCTCTAGATTGGAATTTATAAATTAAGTGTAATAAAACTCAAGAGAAAAATTAAGATTTCAGTGTTTGACTTAGGTCTAGTGTCTCACACACCCTCAATGTTGCAACCTAATTTTTTGAGGCAGGAAATTTGCGAGGCGATCGCCAATGAACGCTTAATACAGACGGTAGTCTTACGTTAGTTCCCAAAGGAAACAACTCAAAAAAGGCGTAGTAGAAGCGGACATGGTAGCAGCGCCTCTTGCCAGCAATCCTGAATTCAGGAAGCTTCGAGACTAGCCTATATAGTCCAACAGGGGCTACAGAGACCCTGTCTCAAAATAACAGTAAGCCAGCAAAAACAGCCTGTCCATCACAACTGGAGCTTTCGAACTGCATTTACTATGGAAGGGGAAAAAAGGCTAAAAACGCTTTAAAATCCGCGTTTCATGCCAGAGGCGGAAAGCAAACACCGTGAGCACGCGGCTCCAGGGTTCCTTTAGGTGAGCCACAGACCGCAGGGATCCGCACGGAGGGGGCGGAGAACGCAAATAAACCTCCCAGCCCCTTCCACCTCAGGACCACACACGCACAAGGCGGCGGCCGCATTTCTGGCACCCAGCTCCGCGCCGACGCCGGGCACGCCCCCTAGCCCCGCCCCCGACGCCGGGCACGCCCCTAGCCCCGCCCCTCCGAGTCTCGTGCGCCGCGCGCACCGCGGGAACCGGCGGCCGCCTCTCCTCCCGCCCCGCCCGCGACGCCGAGTGCGCGTGCGCGCCGCGCCTGCCCAGCCGCCGCGCCTCCAGCTGCCCTGGTTACCGTTGGTGCCCGCGACTCCCCCGCAGCGCCTGTTTCGCCGCGGACCGGCCCCGCGGCCGTTCCCCAGGCGCGCGCCGGCGTCACGTGGGCCGAGGCTCCCACGCGGACGCTGGCCGCCTGCTGAGGCGGGAGGAAGGCGCGGCGGCTACCGCTAGCCCTCCATCTCCGCCCCGGGGCTGGCGCGCGGGTCAAAAATGGCGAAGTGGGGGTAGCCGGCGGGGGACTGGACGGCATGGGGCGCGGAGGTGGCACTGTCGGGGGAGCCTGCTGAAGTGGGCGCGGCCGACCTGGCGACCTCGGGCCGGCGCCTCGTAGCGCGCACCACGGACTCCGAGGGTCGCCGAGGGCCCCGCCGAGAGCCGGAGGCGATGGACGAGCAGAGCGTGGAGGTGAGGGTCGTTGCGGAGGGTGGCCGCCGCCCAGGGGAGCCTCTTCTCCTCGGGGCGCCGGGCTCGCCCGTGCCCGGCCGCGGGGAGGGAGGAGGCAGGCCGGCCCGCGGGTTCTGCCGCCCTCAGGGTGCCGAAGCCGATCCGCAGTCAGGTGCTGCGGCTTTTCAGCGATGCCTTCTTGGCACCTGCGCCCGTCGCCGTTGGCAAGGCTGAGCCTTTCCAGAGCAAAACTGCAAATTCATCCGCAGGACCTGCCCCGCTTTCTCGCCGCGACTCGCTCGGAGTGAATAAAACCTTTCTCACCCTCCCGGTCCGTTTTCTAGGGACCACACACTCTGCTGTCTGAATAAAGACTAGTTTCCAGCATTGATTCTCGTAAGGTGACTTCATGGTTGGGATCTTTCCGCAGAGGTTAGAAGCATCAGAAACGATTCCTTTCTGGGATACAACTATGCGATGTAGTAATAATAAAAATTTCAACCTTCCGGACACTAAAATACTATATAATTTTGCTTTTAAAAAGTAAGGGATACAGAGAAACCCCGTCTCGAAAACAACAACAACAACAACAAAACAACCAACCAGACAAAAAAAAGTAAGGGGTAACTTAGCACTTGAGATGAACCCTTATTCATTCCAGTGGCCTTTTTGTCTTCCCAGCACCGGGTTAGGTCTAGTCCGCATCTCTCAGTTTGCAGTCATGATTAGAATCATGAGCAATTTTCTACTTAATTGCTCTTGTGAACGTTGTATAAAGGTTTTGTAAGCTTATCTTGGTTTTAGGATGGTTTAAGTTTTCTTGGCTAGAGTAAAAACAAACGTTGGTACTGCAGAAATTTAAGATACACAGTAACAGCACATTTAATTTTAGTTTTTTTTAAATTTTGTCAATTACTTTCAAGAAGGATTCTTCTGAAATTTAAGAAAGATGCTATTGTTTTTCCCTGTTTGCAACTTTTTAGAACACTTTCCTGTTTACAATTTTTTTGTTCACTAGATGTCAGAAGGGACACAAAAATTTTTAGATTCTTAAGCTCACATTAGTTAATTGATTATTTAGTGTGCTTATGGGTGTGCATTCATTGGTGAGTTCATGCCGAGGTCGGGACAATTTGGAATCGGTTCTTCTACCACGTGGGATGAATCTCCTTCTACCAGCTGGGATGGAATTAAGGTCTCCACACCTAGTAGCAGGAGCCTTTGCCTGCTGAGCCACCTTGCCACTACCAGTGTATCTTTTAAAAATTTACCCCTTGTCTGGACATGGGGTGCATACTTTAATCCCAGCCCTTGGGAAGCAGAAGCAGGCAGACCTCTGATATCTAGGCCAAGATGTTGAGCATAGGATATTTCAGGCCATATATATATATATAATATATTTCCTGAGACAGGGTTTCTCTGTGTAGCCCTGGTTGTTCTGGGACTCTTTGTAGACCAGGCTGGCCATGAACTCAAAGAGAACCATTTGCCTCTGCCTCCCAATTGCCAGGATTAAAGGTGTGCACCACCATGCAAGGCATGGATGCCGAAATTTACTTAATATTTGTTATGAGGGCTGAAGTCACATTCTTACTTTTACTAAAGTACCCCAGTAAGAATATTTCTACATATAGCCTCTTTTCATTTTCTTTTTTAAAATGTGTATCAAGGTGTAGGGGTGGGTGGGTGTGTTTGTTTATGGTACACATACGGAGTTCAGAGGAGACTCATTGGTCATACACTCCACCTTTCGTTTGAGACAGGGTGCCATTGGCCTGGTCACCAGTTAGCCAGGCCAGCAGGCAGTGAGCATCCAGGGCTGTGTGTGTGCTTGCTGGGGTGACAGGCAGCACTACACTGGATTCTGGGGATCTCAGATTGTATGCTTTCAAGGCAAGCACTTCACTGCGTAGGCTACTTTCTTAGTCCATATGTTTTTCTTGGAATCATCATCAAGCTCATTAAAAACAAGCATGTTGGTCTGGAGAGATGGCTCAGAGGTTAAGAGCACTCTCTGTTCTTCCAAACGTCCTGAGTTGAATTCCCAGCACATGGTGGCTCACAACCATCTATGGTGAGATGATCTGGTGCCCTCTTCTGGTGTGCAGGCTACATGCAGACAGAATATTGTATACATAATAAATGAACAAAATGTTTTTTAAAAAGATTAAAGATTATAAGAAAAAAATAAAAACACAAACAAGCATGTTTTCCAGATGTTCTGACTAACCAAGTTCTGAGTTGTGAATACAGTTAAAACTGAGGCGTTATCAGCTCCAAGTAAGTGTAAATGTTGAGTGAATTTTTTTTCTCTTTTCCTTCTTTCTTTTTATTTTTCTTGAGACCAAGTCTCAATGGCTAGCCCTGGCTTGTCTGTGGGACTCACTATGCATATTCTTAGACTAGCAGAGATAGTCGGCCATTGGTTCCTGAATGCTGGCAATAAAGTTGTGCACCATTATGCCTGGCCTTGAGTGAAGGCTTTTTTTTAACATGTTCTTTACTTAGTGTAATCTGGGAACCCTACATCTTTTGTTTTCAGAGCATTGCTGAGGTTTTCCGATGTTTCATTTGTATGGAGAAATTGCGTGATGCCCGGCTGTGTCCTCATTGCTCCAAGCTTTGTTGTTTCAGCTGTATTAGGGTAAGTTGTAGTTCTTTTAAGTGCGTTCAGTTTTTGTTATTACTGTTTTGTTTTTGAGACAGGTCTTACATTGTAGCTCTAGCTGACCTAGAATTCGCTATGCAGACCAGGCTGACCTCAAAATTACAGAGATCCACCTGCCTCTGCCTCTTGAGTGCGGAGACTAAAGAGGGCTCCACCATGCCTTGTGTATTTTGTTTATATATGCTGTACTGTAAGTATTAACCATGTCCCTTTTTTGCTTGTTTGTTTGTTTTGAGACAGGGTTTCTTTATGTACAGCCTTGGTTGTCTTGGACTCACTTTGAAGACCACGCTGGTCTCAAACTCACATTTGCCTGCCTGTGCCTTTGCTGGGATTAAAGGCGTGTATCACCATGCCCAGCTCCATGTTCCTTTTAAAATGTAGTGTGTGGCCTTTAAAATGTTTGTTTAATAAAAGCTTCTCAATATTGCACCATTTTAAAATGTGAATTGTGTCTGTTGTTTGCATATATGTCTGTGCACCAGGTGTGCTCTTGGAATCCAGAAGAGGGTGTCAGATATCCAGGGAGTGGAATTACATAAGGTTTTGAGCTTCCATGTAGGTACTGGGAATTGAACCAGGATCCTCTGGAAGGGCAGCCAATGTTCTCAGCCATTGAACCATTCCTCCAGTCCAATAGAACCAATTCTTGGGGGGAGGGGTCCAGGGGCATGTGTTTCAGTGTTTCTATGTAGCCCTGGCTATCCTGGAACTCACTCTGTAGACCAGGCTGGCCTCAAACTCAGAGATCCACCTGCCTGTGCTTCATGAGTGTTGTGATTAAAGGCAAGTGCCACCTGCTGGCTGAGCACAGTTTGTATTGTATTTTGAAGACAAGTAAACAGTCAGTTATGACATCTAAGAAATTGAGTGTCTCTGAAAACAAAGCTTGCTGTAATTTTATTTTCACTCTTTAATATTAAACATTATTTTTTATTTTAAAGGTGTGCACTTCTACCTCTAACACACTCTAGTCACACATTTAACAAGTACTTCGCAACATGTTTGTCTGATTTATGTTTGGAATTTCGAGATACTAAAATAAATGATAGACAACCCTCCTTGAACGTATTTAAGTCTGATTAAGGAATTCAACTGCAGTGATTACACTGAAATATATGTACTATCATTTACCATTTATGGGTAAATGAAAAAAAATGCTAATAATGAAATGACTTCAAAGGAAATGAATAAAGTCCAATGTATAAAACAAAAGTTATTTTGGTTGTGTGTGCACAGCCAGTAGCACGTGTGCAAATGCATGGTTGAAACTGCCCTGCTGACATGACTCAGATGAAAATTAAAACTATGTAAAACTATGTAATGTACTCTTCATCTCAAAATTTCTATTTTCTGCCAGGCAGTGGTGTTTCACACCTTTAGTCTCAGCACTCAGGAGACGGAGGCAGGTGAATCTCTGAGTTTGAGGACAGCCTGGTTTACAGAGTGAGTTCTAGGACAGCCAGGGCTACACAGGGAAACCCTGTTTGAAAAGATTTTTTTCCTATTTCCTTATTTTTCCATAAAAGACAGAGTGGGAATGCTAAGATGACTTAGCAGGTAATGGTACTTATTTTCAAGCCTGATGATAGGCGTTCAGTCCCACAGGGGAAGGACAGAACTGGCTAGTTCAAGTGGTCTTCACAAGCAAGTGACGTTCAAAGGCAAACAAGGAAAAAGTGAAATAGAGGGAAATGTTTTCTTGTCAAGAGTAATTTCTAACTGGGCATTTTTGGGGTCCTTTAGTCCCTGCGCTTGGGAGGCAGAGGCAGGCAGATCTCTGTGAGTTCAAGGGTAGCCTGGTCTACAGAGCTTTTTTCAGGACAGTCAGGACTACTTAGAGAATCCCTGTATTGAAAAAAATTAAAAAAAAGTAATTTCTATAACACTTAAATTATTTTCTTCTAGTCACAGGACTAGCAAATAGTGGAGCTGAAGTTGAATCCAGTTGTGTCTGTTTTAGAGCGGGTATATGGCCGGGCAGTGTTGGTGCACGCCTTTAATCTCTATGCCTGGGAGCTGAGGTAGGCAGGTCTCTGTGAGCTCAAGATCTACAGAGTGTGTTCCAGGATAGCCAAAGCTACACGGAAAAATCCTGTCTTGAAAAAAATGAAGAAAGAAAAAAGCCTGTGTATGTTGCTACTATTATGTGCAGATCTAGATTACATATGAAACTAGTTCTCACATTGATAAAAGGAGATAGTTAATCATTTTTAGCTTTGTTTCTTTAGCTACAGGATTCATATTGTTTTTTAAGTTCCATAATTAGTTGGGCAATGAATGAAAGTTGCTAAAAGATATTTGAGAAATTAGAAAATAGTATCTACTTGTGAAGTTTTATTCTAGTATTTTATCAACTTGTGAAGTTTTATTTTAGTATTTTATCAGTCACTGTACATGATATTTTTAAATTATGAAACTGCAGCTACAGAGACTTGATTGGTCTCTGTCACTATAGTGAATACTTGGAGTCTGTCTAGACTGGGTTTTATTGGTGAAGGGTTTGAGAGTGCTTGAAAGTTTTGAAACTGCTTGTGACCTCTGCTTATTATGTTATACCTCATTGATTGTTTTTTGTACCTTTCCCTCTTCTTTCTAGTGTGTTTATTTACTCTGAGGATTTGGATTTACTTGCAGCTCTAGCTATCTACATATGGGTCCTGGATCTAGTTGTTGAATGTTGTGGTGTTAGTGTTCAAACCTAGGACCTTGTATATGGTAACTGGCAAGTGCTTTACTTTTGAGCAATGCTCTTAACACAGAGCAGGCTGTCTTAAGTGCTGTCTGGGACCTGATAACACCTGCAGCCAGCTTGACACAGTCTGCTTGGTTAGACCATCTGCTTTGGCACTCTCTTGGATGTGGGAAACACCAGGACCTGACAGGCTATTGGAACATATATGAGGGCAGAAGACAAAGTTAAGTAAGTTAGGGAGAAAAAAATTTAGGTGCATATTTGAAACTTGGGGGAGGGGGAGGAATTGACAGTACTTATCTGGCATCCATCTGACTTGAGAGGTAGGTTCAGGTGGGCTTCCTATAGCTCACAAGAATCTTTTTGTTTTTTTAAAGATTTATTTATATTTATGTATATGAGTGCTCTAGCTGCATGTACACCTGCATCCTGGAAGAGGGCATCAGATCACATTATAGATGGTTGTGAGCCACCATGTGTTTGCTGGGAATTGAATTCAGGACCTTTAGAAGAATAACCAGCATTCTTAACTTTTGAACCATCTCTCTAGCCCACAGGAATTTTTTAAGTTTTTTTTAAAAAAAAGATAAGTTTTAAATATGCTAACATATCCATTGTTTGTAGTTTATAGCAGAGTACACATTGTAGAAAAAGGCAGTAGACATATGTCTTTGTGTCATAGCATAACAGGCTTGGAAATGATCGTGAGTCAACACCATGAACAGACTTTGAAGTGAGCTCAGGGAAGACAAGCCTTCCGTGAAGCAGAAGGGGCAAAAGCTCACTTGATACTGATTTTCAGTATGATCACACACTGTGAAAGAGGGTCTTCTTTTCTCTTAAATATTGTTGCCAAGACCTCTGGGGCTCTCCTGGTAGTGTTTGGGCATGCCAGGACTTTTGACTGGTCAGTTTTCCCTTCCTTGCCCACAAAAGGCTGAATTAGGAACATGTAGTGTTTGAGGTTAGCCTGAGCTATATAACGAGTTTAAGACTAGCCTGGAGCAGGCTGGCCCACGCCTGTAATCCTAACACTCAGAGAGGCAGTGACAGGCCAATCTCTGTGAGTTTGAAGCCAGCCTAGTCTACAAATAGCTTCCAGGGCAGCCATGGCTACACAGAGAAACCTGTCTCGAAAAACAAAACAAAGACTGCCTTGGAGTGTAGAACAAAATCCTGGCTCAGAAAAAGCAAAAGGAAAAATCTGTGGCGTTCATGAAGAGCTTTTGGAAGGAAGTGTCATATTAATTAAAATCTAAATGATGATTGGGATTTTTCTAGACAAAGGTGTTGATGAATATGGTGATTAGAAAAGGAAACATTTAAAAGCCTAATTTTGCTGGATCATAGGATGTAACTGAAGAGGTGTGGCTGGAACCATTTCTTGAAGGAAGGTGTGGAAAGCTAAGTCTTAGTAGAAGAGTGATATATTCAGAGGAAGAAACTTGACTCCAGCCTCATGCCACAGGCTGCTGTGAGGACACAGTGAGATCCCACAGGGACAGGCCTGGACATAGTGTCTGATTTGGAGTGAGTGCTTTTCAACTATGACTGATAGTACAGTTTCCTCGCCCCTTCCTTCCAGATTTCAGAACCAACTCTTCAGTATCAGGGCCACAGAAATGTTATTCAAGATTATTAAGAACAGTGAGGTTCTTCTCCATTTGCTCCTTCCCCCTTTCTGTCTTTGCTTTCTTTGCATAGTAATTTAAATTTTTTTTTAATCATTTTCTTTGCTAGGGTCTCATGTAACACCAGCTAGCCTCTGACTGTAACCAGAGCTGACTTTGAACTTTTGATTTTCTTTACTTCTATTTCCCAAGAGCTAGGATGGCAGATGTGTGCCTTGGGCTCCATGCCCTGTTTTAAGCAGTGTAGGAGATTGAGGTACGTCCTTGAGCATGCTGGGTCAGCGCTTCACCAACTGGGCTACATTCCCAGCCACTCCAGTTGCTTGAGAATGTTATTCTTCAAGGTTTCCTTGGGACCCTCACTTTAATGTTAAAGTTTATTTTTTATAGGAATTCAAAGTGATAAATAACTTATTTTGAGAATTAGCAGTGTAAGATTGTTTACCTTGAACAGTATTTGTAGTAAATAAAATAAAAATGAGTGTTGGACTATGTGATGTTTATTATTATTAGCCCTAAGATTATCACGCTAGTATTATCTAACCTGCTATCACAAATAATAAGACACAGGCACTTAATTAGATTTTATAATTGCGTTATTTACCTTGAGCCGGGCAGATAGTCCTACCTATACTGTCTGAATCACTTCACCATCCAACTCTACCTCCCAGGCCTCACCTAATGCTATCCTCCTTAATCCTCCTCTTCCACCATAATCTTACAAGTACTTGCTTTTATTCTTCATCTGGGCCTTTTCTTGACATTATTAGAGTCCTTCCTTCTAGCCCCACATGGTTTCTTCTCCAGATTAACCAATCCTGGGATCCCCTCATTTCTCTATTCCTATTTTTCCCCTGATTCTCACAATTCTCTGGTCTTCAAAAGTCCAGGAGCTATAGCCATGCCTACCCCCTTCTGCCCTGTCCAGGTATAGGCCATTTAATGAACCAGAGTGCCAGTAGTTAGCATTAGACCAAACTCCAACACCAATAATTAAAACAAAGTTTGAAGTTCTTAACGTTAGTTTTTTGTTTTTTAATACTGTGACAACATACCTGACAAAAACAGCTTATATTGGGAAGGACATAGTTTCAGAATCCAAGTTGAAGATATAGTCCATCATGATAGGTAGTTATGGTGGCAGAAGGAGATCCAACCATATCATCAGGCATATGAAACAGGCAGCCAGTCCATCATCTGCACAGTCAGACAGCAGAGGCAGGTGAATGCTGGTACAAAGCTCACTCTCCTTTTCCCTCTTTATTCGGTGCAAGGTCCGTGTCCATGTGATGGTGCCATCCATATTCAGGCTTGGCCTTACTTTAGTTAAATAAACCTCTTTGGAAATATCCTCAGAATCCCAGCCAGAAGTATGTCTCCACAGTGGTTCTAAACCTAATCAAGTTGATAATTAAGAACATCTATCACCACCATTAGTCTGGTTACAGAAAATGGTTTAGAGTCTTAATCTCCCTGCTTTAGGTATATTTTTAAATGTTAGTGTTTTGGGTGCATGTGTGTCTGTGCACTTGCATGCCTGGTGCCTGAGGAGGCCAGAAGAGGGCGCTGGAGTTACAGTTGAAGGCCTCCATGTGGGAGCTGGGACTCAAACCTGGGTGCTCTGGAAGAACAGGTGATGCTCTTACCTGCTCAGCTATCTCTCCAGCTCCCAAGTATTTGTTTTATGCATGGGAATACAACTGTTCCTATCCAGTAATAAAGTTTTTTTTTTTTTTTTTTTTTTTTTTTTTGTTTTTGTTTTAATATTTTTGATACACTCTTGCTGTGTAGTCCTGGCTGGCGTAGAATTCACAATGTAGAAGAGGCTGGCCTCAGACTTGTGATCCTCCTGCTTCTATCACTAAGGTGCCAGGATTGGGGGCATTTGTCACCACACAAATGCCCCTGAAGTAATTTAAAAGATGAAGGTATGGGCTGGAGAGATGACTAGGCTGTTAAGAGCACCTGCTGCTGTTTCGGAAGCTCTGAGCTCCTGGCACCCACCTAGTGCAGCCTACAGCTGCATGTAACTCCAGCTCCAGGGGTTCAGCACTGGACATACACACATGCATGCATGAAGTTAATAAAATGGAGAGTTTTTATTCCATCTATTTGTGTGTGGATGGGACAGCATATGGAGGTCAGAAGATGACTTACGGGAGTTAGAGCTCTTTTCTACCGTGTGGATGACACTTGGGGTTCAGACTCAAGTCTTCAGCCTTGAGGGCTTCCTTTTCTGCTGAGTCATCACCAGTTTAGGGTTTTGTAGAGACAGACATTATTATCTTCAGAAATGTTGTACAGTTACAAGGAAACCAGAATTCCTGGGTGTTTAATTTACCAAACCATCAAGTGCCTGTGAGACCTGAAGAGTTGCTGCTGCAGTGCTTACTTGTGTTTTTACGGCTGACGGACACGCCCACAGTGAATACCTTAGAATTAGTTTGCTTTCTACAAAGTAAATTTGGAGTACCTTAAACTCAGTGGTTTGTAATTAGTTACAAAAAAAAAGTTACTGTGGCTTATTTTTGAGGGTAGAGTGACAACATTATTTCTATAAAGATTTCATCTTTGTGATAGCCAGTTAGCCCAAAATCACTTCCTTTCCTTTGGGAGAGTAGGTGCTTAACTATTTTGGGTTGAGTTCTATCCCTTTTAAAGTTTGTTCCTATCATGATAATGATGAAAGAGAGATAGTAGATTGCCTGTTATTTTTGTATCTCTAAAATAAATGTAGGCACTAGAGAGTTAAACTCATTAAATGCAGTTTATAATGACTAGATATATAAAGTAATGGTGTTTTTGTAATGGAAATTAATTTTTTTTTTTTGTCTCCTTAGCGCTGGCTGACAGAGCAGAGAGCTCAATGTCCTCATTGTCGGTAAGTGTTTTGCTATGTATATATATATATGGAAAATGGTAACCAAAATAAAAGCCCAGGGTCAGAGGATGTCCTGGAATATAAAAAGGCAGGTTCCCCCTTCCTCCTTCAACTCTGCAGTTTTCTGCGTTTCTTTTGGTTTGTGATAAAGTTGCGTAGGAAATGATCAGTAGGTCCAGAAAAAGCAGTGCGTCAACTATATACCTGACTAAATTTTTGTTGAATGTATTGTGTGATTATGTTGTGCCCTTGTTTTTCTCACATAATTATTGTGTGACTTAACTTTTTAATTTAAACAAAAATGTAATTGGTCTTGGTAGCTCACGGCTGTAGTCTCAGAACTCAGGAGACTGAGGTAGGTGGTGAATATTCTCACATACCTGAAACCGCACACACAGTACTTACTGTTTTGATTCTCTTTCTTGATGTTTTTTTACTCTTTGGGATAGTTTTACTCTTTGGGATAGGTGGAAGATAGCCCAGGCTAGCTTCCACCTGTAAGGATAAACTTGAACCCCTGACAGCCATGCTCCTTTTCAAGTGATAGTATTTACAGGCATGTGCTCCATACCTGGCTTTATAATTTGCTTTTTTTCCCCTTGTAAAATCAGTGGGTATATTTCACTGATGGTGTGTGTATGTAAGTCATTTAAGCAAGTGTTTGATAACCCTTTTATAAGTACCCCTGGACTGACTTATGTTCATATTGAGAGTCACTTAGCTCGTTTCTACTTCTGGTGATTTTAGGCTACAGTGCCAGAGACTACCTTTTGCTGTTTTATTTTTTCACTTTACTTTACGAGGAGAAAACTTGCTGTTGTGATGGTACTCACACTTATATGCTGCCACTGAACTGTGTTCTAGGCCAGTGGTGTCAGTTTGTACAGATAAACTTAGGCTAAGAAATTAAAATTAAAAATTTATAATTTGAATTATCATTGTTAGTGTTTAGTTGGTACATATTGCTGTGTGTATGTGTGTGATATATATGAATGCGACAAAAATAAGTCACAAAGTGTACTTTTCATTGCCTCTTTGCTTTTTTGACACAGAACCTCACTGTGTAGGTTAGTTCAGCTCAAACTCATTTTACCAAAACTGCCCTTGAACTCTTCAGTTCTATAGCCTCAGTGAAAAGATTGCAGATATGTTTTTTCATATCTGGCTATTGTTGTTTTAATAATCATATGCTCTGTTTTGAGCAACTCTTATTTTAGAAAACTCTTGGCTGTCTGAGAGAATATATACATGTATGGATTTTCTTTTCAGTGCTCCACTCCAGTTACGGGAACTAGTGAATTGTCGTTGGGCGGAAGAAGTGACACAGCAGCTTGATACTCTCCAGCTGTGTAGTCTCAGCAAACATGAAGAAAACGAGAAGGACAAGTGCGTGCTTGGGTTTTTGTTGAGTAGTTAATAGATTGTACCATGTGCTGTTTTAATGACACTTTGTGTATTTGTATACGTATACTTAAATAATTGGTTTGCGTGCGTACTTGGTCAAGTATGTCTATGTATGTATGGGTACTGGGGATTGAACCTAGGGCCACATGCACATGAAGTAAGCGCTCCCTGGTTTCAGCTTCAAGACCTGGGACACTATGTTGCTAGTTCTCTGTTATCTGTAAGTGAGAAGGTTAATGTTAAGCTTCCATTTGTTACTTAATATTAAATTTTTTTTTCTGTTTTTTAATATTTCATAACCACTCACCCACCCACAGAGGTGCAAAGTACTGTGCTAGGTTAGGAGATACAAAGGAAAAATGGATTATTTCTTTTTAATTGATTTACAGGAGCACAGCAATATACAGTGGTATAGTCTTGTTAAAAATTATAATGGGAACAAATTTTGGATAGAAAATAACAAGTAGTTTTATATTGGATGTTTACAGATACTGGTCATATCTAGAGTGTTATTGGGAATAGATCAAAGGTAGAAAGTTAAGAGAGAGTCCAGAAATGTTAAATGTTTAAAAATAAAGTCGTAACTGTATTTATATGCAGTGTGTTTAAGTTGAAACTAGAGGGGTCATTGGAAATAAAGCTTAGACCTATTTATTTATCATTCTATAGAACTAGGACCATGAGGGCTAAAGAAATGGCTCAGTGGTTATGCGTACATACTGCTCTTGCAGAGGCCCCAAATTGGACTCCTCTGACCCATGTCACTCACTTGTCTCATAACTCCTTGTAACTTCAGCTCCAGGGGCACACAGAGCCTCAGTCTTCCTTGGCACTTGCACATACATGAACATAACCACGGGCAGACAGATATACACATAATTTAAAGTAATAAAAAGTAACGAATATTTTTTAACAAAGAAAAATAAAAGTAAACAGCATAGCAGAAATGGGAGGAGGACAAATTGGTCTGTTTTTATTTGTTTGGCTGGTTTTCTTGGTACAGGCTCTTGCTGTGTATCCAGATTGACCAGTCACTATGTAGTTTAGCCATCCTTCTGGGTATAGAGATTACAGGTTTGTGCCTCTGTGCTCAGTTGATGCCTGGCGTGCTAGTCCATAATTAAATAGTTAAATAAAAGTGGCAGTTATTTCTACTACTGTTCCAGCTAAACTAGACTCTGTAGGCTATTACTTTTAGCATTGTGGTGGTCGTAACGAGAAATTTAAATATAACATATTTCATCAGTGATTGCTGTGGAATAATGAGATAATCACTATTTGGAAAGGTTCTTTTTGTTGGGCTTTTACATTTTTATATTAGTGCCTCTCAAAGAAGGAATAGATGTCCTATGGTTTCCTTACCTGACAATCTTTATTTTAATTAAAAAAATTTGAGACTCAGCTTCCCAAGCGTATTACAGAGATGTGCCACTGTACTCAGCTTTTGGATTATTTTATATATATTTCATGTAAGGTGAGGGTCAACTGGGTAGTTTGAATAGTGTTAAAAAAATTTTTTTTCTGTAGTATTAGAGGCAGGAAATCTAAGAGCAAAGGTACTTGATGAAGAATTGGTTTCTGGTGAAGCTTCTTTTTTTGACTTTTGGCTGCCTTCCTGCCGAGTCACTTTGGAGGTTAATTTTCAACATAGAAATTTTGGGGAGGCTGGCCGCAGTGGTACACATCTGTAATCCCGGCACTCTGGGAGGCAGAGGCAGGCGGATCTCTGTGAGTTTGGGGCTAGCCTGGTCTTCAAAATGAGCCCAGGACAGCCAAGGCTATACAGAGAAACCCTGTTGGAAAAACAAAAACAAAACAAAAAACAATAAAAGATTTGGAGGAGAGCACAATATTGAACTTTATTGTTTTACATGTGGACATTTGCATTAAGAGAAAATGTGAAGTTGAATGTACATTTCTGATAAGGACTTGGTATTGACATTGTGCAGCTGAGATGTCTTGATTGTTATTATTGGCCAGTCAGAGGAAAGTTACTTGTTCGTGTACATATGCTTTTATTAAAAGATTAGCATGACAGTCCTCTGTGGTTTTTCAAGACAGTGTTTCTCTGTGTAGCCTTGGCTGTCCTGGACTTGCTTTGTAGACCCGGCTGACTCGAACTCACAGAGATCCCCCTGCCTCTGCCTTCCAGAGTGCTGGGATTACAGACTTGTGCCACCGCACCTGGCACATGACAGTCTTAATCACGAATCACGAAGTAGAGGGAGAGTATTTTGTATATACTGATGAAAGGAAGTGGTGTATTTTATTTAGAAAGAAATCTATAATTTGCTTGTTTAAAGTTTAAAAATTTTGTTCATGTGTCATTATTTATCGTAATTCTTAGAAGCCGTTGAATACATTTTACTTTTTTTAATGATTTTAAATTGATCTGTTTGCCTTAGCTTAGAAATTTGTTGAAAATTATATTCATGTTTTAATTTATAACTGTCTTTTCTTTTCATAACTAATAGATGTGAAAACCACCATGAAAAGCTTAGTGTGTTTTGCTGGACTTGTAAGAAGTGTATCTGCCATCAGTGCGCACTTTGGGGAGGAATGGTGAGCAGAACAAATTTAGCACCGTCTCTCTGGTTTAGATACTAGAAAGCATTGATATAATTAGTTGGTTTAAATGGAATAAAATATTTTACTCTGGAGAATGGAAGTATATCTTACCTGTTTATGCATGCCTTGTTAAAGGTGTTGTGTTTTCTGCTAGTCCAAAAGAGCCTCTATGGGCAGGTGTGTTGGTGTAGGATGGATACTGCTTTCATGGCTTAATGTATATAAAATACATAGTGTACATTTTAACATTTTTCTCCCTTTTTCCCCCCTGTGGTGCTAGCAATTGACCCCGGGCCTTGTGCTTGCCTTGTCAGTACCATGTCAGTAAGTTAGACCCCCCAGCCCAGGATCAGGGACTTTGCTTTGAGTACTGGTCAGTTGCTCTTTATACTTCAGACGCTTCTGAAGTAATGTGAGTATGAATATATATATTACCTAACAGTCCAGAGGCCCTCACCATTCCCATGGTTGCCACTTCCTCCCACTTCAGCCTCTATCCAGAGTTGGGACTACAAGAATGCACTCCCATGCAAGCTTTTAAGAGATTTTTGAGATAGGGCTCTTAGCGTGTAGACCAGGCCTTAAACTTCACCAGGGTTTCTCTGTGTAGCCCTGGCTCCATTATTTTCTTAATGTCTAGTATATAGACTCTTGAAGGCATTGCTTCATTGTCAGGGTGATTTCTTGTAAGCACTGGCTTGTTTTAAGAGGATAAAGGTGATATAAAAAGGTGAAATTCATTTGAAAATATTTATCAGTTTGCCACTGTTTGTAGAGTGTTAAAGAGGAATGTAAATGCAGTTGAAATGTATGAAACCTCCTCATACTACTCATATTGGTTCCTGTAGCATGGTGGACACACGTTTAAACCTTTGGCAGAAATCTATGAACAGCACGTCACTAAAGTGAATGAAGAAGTAGCCAAACTTCGTCGACGTCTGATGGAATTGATCAGCTTAGTTCAAGAAGTGGTAAGATTACTTTTACATAAAATTGATAACCTTTTTTGATTCTATGTTCTTTTTTTTTTTAAGTTATTTATTTATTATTTACACAGTATTCTGCTGCATGTGTGCCTACAGGCCAGAAGAGGGCACTAGATCTTGGATGGTTTTGAGCCAACATGTGGTTACTGGGAATTGAACTCAGGACCTTTGGAAGAGCAGCCAGTGCTCTTAACCTCTTGAGCCATTTCTCCAGCCCTGATTCTATGTTCTTATATAAATCAGATGTCGAAATCAAGATTTTCAAAGTAAAGATTTGATAGGCTGGTGGGCCAGCAAGTGCTAGAGATCCTGTTTCTGCCTCTACAGTGTTGACTTTTGTGTGGATGATGGGGTCAGACTTAGGCCTTTATTCTCATACAGGAAGCACTTTACCAGCTCCACCATCTCTCCAGCCTCAGTATTGACTCTGGTGATCTTTTTTTTTCTTTCTTTCTTTTTATTTGGGGGGGGGGGGGTGTGTCGGGGTGGATGGGCGTTCTTTGAGACAGTTTCTCTGTGTTAACACTAGCTGTCCTAGAACCTGCTTTGTAGACCAGGCTGGCCTTGAATTTACAGAGATCCACCTGCCCCTGCCTCCCGAATGCTGGGATTAAAGACATGTGCCACCACATTGGCCCTATTTTTTGTCTCATATATATATACACACCTATATATGTATGTATATGTATGTATATGTATGTATGTATGTATATATATATATATATGTTTTGCCTTCATGCATGTATGTGTACCATGTACATGCTTGATGTTCTTTAAGCTTAGAAGTAGGTTTCAGATTCTCTGGAACTAGAGTTACTGTGGGTGCTGGGAACCAAATGTGGGTCCTTTGCAAGTGCAGCAAGTGCTCTTAACTGCTGAGCCGTCTCTCTAGCTCCTGAATGAACTATTTTGTGTGTGTGTGTGTTGAATTGGCTCCACAGAGTAGAAAGAGCAATTATTTAATACTATGACATGTAATGTGTAGGGTTGGAGAGAGGGCTCAGCAGGTAAAAAGGCTTGATGTTTCTTTCAGGGGACGGCCTGTAAGCTCCCTCTTCTGGCTCCACAGGCACTCTCACACATGTGGCATATACCCACATAGACACAAACTCATATATAAATAAAAAGTAAAAAAAAAAAAATTACTGGGTCAGTTTTAGTTATCTGCTATTTATATATACACATACACACACATATTTTTTTGGAAAAATGTAATAATTTTCAAAGAAATACTAAATATATTTTTGGAATATATGCTGTTGAAGTTGCCAGAATGAGAATGTTTTGTGTTTTTTTTTTTTTTGTGTGTGTGTGTGTCTTATTAATAATCTACCAGCAAGTATTCTTATGAAGAATGGAATCATTTGTAACACTCTTTCCATATTAAATAGCTGAATTGCATGCAAACTACAAAGTTCTTTTGAAAAACATGGTAGGTGAATTGATTTTAGCTGATCTTGTATGACTATTACAAATTTTTCTTGGCAACACTAGGAGGCTATTCTAGGTTGAGGGTTCTACTTAGATATAGCAATAGGATGTATAGACAAAACAGCTCTTTATCATTTGTGGTACATTGATTTGAAATCTAGTGCATATATTTAGCAATCTTGGAAAAAGAACTATCTTTCTATGTAGTTCTGAAAAAAAATCTTTATGAACTAGAGAAACACATTGAATTTAAAAACATCTTTTGTTTGACATGGTGGCATGTGACCAATAATTTCAGCATTGGAGAAGTGGAGCCAAAAGAATCAGTTCAGGGCGTTTAGCACATGGCCAGTTCTAGTTTTGCCTGGAATGCATGAGACTCTTGGAAAAACCCCAAACAAAACAAAATCCTTTTTGTTTTAGGGTATTTTTGGATGCATACTAGCCGTTTTCGTTTAAGCCCGTGTGTATGTGTACATCAGTGTACCATGGCACTCTTGTGAAGGTCAGAGGACAGCTTGCTGGTATCAGTTCTCTCCACTGTATGGCTCACAGGGATTAAACTCAGCACTTGTCAGGCTTGGTGAGAAGTGCTTTTTGCTGCAGAACCATCTCTTAGGTCCTTTTGTTTTTGTTTTGTTTGTTTTTCCTATCTGTAAATCCACATTTCTTATTTTTTTCTTTAAATGATTTATTTATTTTTATGTGCATTGGTGTTCTGCCTGCATGTATGTCTTTGTGAGGGTATCAGATCCTCTGGAACTGGAGTTAAAGACAGTTGTGAGCTGCCATGTGGGTGCTGGGAATTGAACCTGGGTCCTCTGGAAGAGCTGCTACTACTCTTAACTACTGAACCATCACTGTAGCCCTGGTCATTTTGTTGTTATAGAGTAGTTTCTTATTTGAAATGTGACTGGGGCTTTTTACTGTTACTGAAATTTGGTTACCTTGTTACCTAATTTTTTCTGTCTGTTTTAAGACCGGGTCTCATAATAGCCAAGATGGTCTCAGACTCTGTAGTTGAAGCTGGCTCTCATAATAGGTATGTGCCAACATACCCAGACAGTTTTGTAATTATAGATGTTTTTATTGCTATGTCTCTTAAATCATAAGAAACTTAATTATACTGTTTATTTTTGAGAACTTCATTACATTTATTTGTGTTTGTTTGCTCACGTAGGTATGAGTATATGCATGTGAAGGTCAGAGAACAACTTGTAGGAGTTGGTTCTCTTCTACTGTATGGATCTTTGAGCTTGAACTTGGGTTATCAGGCTTTGTGGTAGACACCGACCTACTGAGTCATCTGACTTTGGAGGTTAGAGGACAACTTGAAGGAACTAGGTATTTTCCCCACTATGTAGATTCCAGGGATTAAGCTCAGGTTGTGTGGCAAACATCTTTCACCCTGCTGACCCCAGATTTATAGAGTTTTTTTAAAAGCAGTGTTACTTACACAATACAAACAGTTAAAAATATTGGTTATGACTGGGCAGTGGTGGTAGAAGCCTTTAATCCCAGCACTGGGGGGCCAGAGGCAGATGGATCTCTGGAGTTTGAGGCCAGCCTGGTCTACATAGTGAGTCCAGAACAGCCAAGATTAGAAAGAGAAAGCCAGTCTCAAAAAAAAGAAAAAAGATATATATTTATATATGTATGTATGTATATACACATACACACACACGTATTTCTAGGTTATGAATTTTAAAGGGTTAATTAGCTATTTCAAGAGTAAGTACAAGGTTGCATTGCCATGTTCTTCTGTTATAAAGGACTCTAGTTAATTTATTTGATCTTTCAGGAAAGAAATGTAGAGGCTGTAAGAAGTGCCAAGGACGAGCGTGTTCGGGAAATTAGGAACGCTGTGGAGATGATGATTGCACGATTAGACACACAGCTGAAAAATAAGCTCATAACACTCATGGGTGAGTGCATTCTATCCTGCTGGAGAACAGCACATCCTGACCTTGCTTGTGGTCCAGTCTTCAAGGAGTAAATTAAAGAATTGTTAATGCTAGGATGCAATCTTAGGTGCTCCATGTTGTGTAATCTAGACTATAAGTCTGACTTCTGTTAGGCAGTGATCAAAACAAACTTTTACAGCCATTGTATGAAAATCCTAAATGGCATGTGAACTTCATTATTCGTAAGTTTTTTACCCCCTCTCCCTCACCTACTGCTGAGCCTGACAGTCTCAATTCAGTTTGCAGGACCCACATGGTGGAAGGAGAGAATTTACTCACACAGTTGCCCTCTGACTGCCCCATACATGCTATGGCCTGAATGGCCTCCACCTTTCAGTAAAATAATTTAAATCCCTGGCTGTTTTTTGTTTTGTGTTGTTTTGCTTTGCTTTGTTTTGTTGTTTTGTTTTGTGTGTGTGTGTGTGTGTGTTTGAGACAGTGTGTTACTGTGTAGTTCTGGCTGCTCTGGAATTCACTGTGCAGATCAGGCTGGCTTCAATCTCAGAGAGAGAAATCTATTTGCCTCTGTCTGTTGAGTGCTAGCATTCAAAACACTACAGCTGGCTAATTTAAAAAGAAAATAAAGTACATAAACTAATTAGTTTTCTCTGTGAATATGATTTTGAATAGTAACCAAATGCATGTTTGTATGTGGCCTTGCTTTTTGTTTATAAGTTTTCCTGATTTCTTTAGTTAATTAAAAATCAAGTATGTCAGCAATACAGATTTTTAAAATTTAATTTAAAAATGTGGTGTTTTTTTTTTTTGTGGTATATACATGTGTGTGTAAATATACACACTAGTATGTGCATATGCAGTGGTTAGAGGTTACAGTTGGGTGTCTTTATTCTTTTCTTGTTTGAATTTTGTTTTTAGATTCATTTTAGTTTTAAATATGTGGGTATATGTGAATATTTGTACATATGAATGCAGGTGCCCAAAGAATCCAGAAGAGGGCATCAACCCCCCTCCCCCCCACATATACATACACACAGAGTTGTTGGTAGTTGTGTGCTAGGACGCTCCGTTTTGGTTATCCTGACCGATCACAGCTGCTAGCATCTCCTTCCCCAGCACTGAGGTTCTAGGTGCACACTCCTGTCCTTGCCAGGTCCTCATGCTTGTGCAGCTACTATTTAACCTGTGGAGTCAGCTCCATGACCTCTTGACGCCATAATTCAACAACTCACTGAGTTAAATAGTATTCTTTTCCAGTGCAGTTATTGTCTGTAATGTGGATTTTTATTTATTTATTTTGCGGTACTACAGATTCAACCCAAGGTTGTCACTGTACATTTTTTTTACCACTTATTTTAGGTAGTGTCTCACATAGCTCAGGTGGCCTCAAATTGGCAATGTAACAATGTAACTAATGTAATTTAGTAGGGCCCTAAATTCTCCTTTTGTTTGTTTGTATTTTGAGACAGTGTTTCTCATTGTAGCCCTGGATGTTCTGGAACTTGGATCTGTTGACCAAACTGGCCTTAACTCAAGAGTTGTGCCTGCTTCTGCCTCCTGAGCACTGGGATCAAAGCTGTGCACCACCACAGGCTGATGACCTTGAGTTCTTGACCCTTTTGTCTCTACCCTCTGTGCACAGGGATTACAAGTTCACCATAACTGGTTTATGCCCATCTAAATATTAACCTAGGCTAATAGGTTTGTGTAGGCTAGGCATGCACTCTACCATACTGTAGCCCCAACCTGTAAGTTATTTAAGATACGTAGGGTTACCTCCTGTGTTCTTGTTTCCAGGCTACCTTTTTAAAATGTATTCAGCTTCTTAAAGCTCTAGGAAAGTCATTGGGGTAAGTGTAATAAAGGTTTGCTCAGTTGCAATGGATCTCTTTTTGCAGAATGACCATAGGAAGTTCATTTCATTCCTAAACCAGTAGTGAATCTGAATGTTGTTGTTGTGCTCCTTTTAAACAGGTCAGAAGACATCTCTTACTCAAGAAACAGAACTGTTGGAATCTTTACTTCAGGAGGTAGAACATCAGGTGATGAAATATGTTTGTTTATGTGCTGCTGGGTGAGCATTAAATATTAAATAGAATGAAGTAGTCTTTGCTGGGCATGGTAATGCACAGCTGTAATCTTTAGGAGGCTGAGGCAAAAGGACCATGAATTTTCTCATTTTAAAGATTTATTTATTTATTATTTATACAACATTCTGTCTTAATGTGTGCTTGTGCATTGGAAGAGGATACCATATTTCACTGTAGATTATTAGGAGCCACCATGTGGTTGCTGGGAATTGAACTCAGGACCTTTGGAAGAACAGCCAGTGCTCTTAACCTTAACAGCCATCTCTACAGCTCAAGGACCATGAATTTGAGTCCAGCCTATGCTATATAGAGCTTTTGAGGCCATTCTAGGTCACATAATACCTGGACTTGATTTCAAGAAACAATTTATTTATCCTCTCTCCCTCCTTTTTTCTATTTTTTGAGGTAAGATCTCATAGTGTGCCTTAGGATGACCTCAGACTTGTAGCACTTCTGCCATTGTTTCCAGAGGGCTTTGATCACAAGGTGTGATGGTTTGAATGAGATGTCCCATATTTTTAGGCTTTTGAAGTAGTCCACATTTGGTGCAGTTTGGGGAGCTTTAGGGGGTGTGGCCTTGCTGGAGTAAGTTTATGTCTTGTGGGCTTTGAGGTTTAAAAACCTCCTGCCACCAACTCCTCATTCCCATCTCTGTGTACTCTGATGGCTTCCTGTTTGTGGTTGCAAATGTGAGCCCTTAGCTTGCAGCTTGATTTGGCACATCTTCCCTGTCTAGTGAAACTGTAAACCCCAAAGGAAACCCTCCTTTTCTAAATTTCCTTGGTCACAGTGTTTTATCACAGCATTCAAAAAGTAACACAAAGAAAGATACTGTACCATATCTTTTCAAAATGTTTTTCCCCAGCTTTTAGCTAGGGAGAGGAGGGGAAATCCAAAGATATCTGTGCTATAGTGAAGATTTTTATAGAGTAGGTTTAGCTGAATCTTAAGATTTTTAAATAAGGTCCATGATGATATATCAAAATAGAATAACTTTTTTTTTTTTTTTTTTTTTTTTTGGGTAAAGCCTTGGAACTTGCTAGGTAGACCAGGCTGGCCTCAAGCTCTCAGAGATCTGTCTGCCTCTTACTCTTGAGTGCTGGGATTAAAAGTATGTACCCCCATGCTTGGCTAGAATTACTCTTTTTGGGGTGGGGAAAGAGGGACAACCCAAGACATTTGAAAATTTGTAAAATTTTCCCCTATGATTTAAGTAGTAGATTTAAGGCAGATGGTTATTGCCATTTACCTAAATATATTGATTTTCTGTTAAAGTTTAGCATTAAAGAAATACCTGTTGAATCTCAGACAATAGGTATTGTTTTATACTTTTTAAAATTATGTTATTTTAAATTATGTATATACATGTGGTTATGTGCATGTGAATAGAGCTGCCTATGGAGGCCAGAAGAGAGCGTTGGATCTCCTGCTGCACTATATTATAGGTGTTTGTGAGCCACCCAGTATGGCTGCTAGGAATTGGACTTGTGACTTCTGCAAGAGCAGTACACACTGTGAACTGCTGAGCCAACTTTCCAGCCCCATTTTACCCTTATTTTCTTTTCAGGAAGCTTATTCTGATTTGTTTGTTTGAGATAGCATCTTGAGAGTTATTCAGCACATACTGTCCTGGAACTTGCTGTGTAGCACAGGACGGTCTCCCTTTCATGGTTCTCTTGACTCAGCCTTCCAGGTGTTAGGTAGAATTACAGGAGTGTGTATCACACCCAGCATAGTAGGCCAAAGACTTATCCCTGACATGAATTGTCTGGCAACCTTCTGCTGGAGTAATAGGGTAACTTTATGCCAGCTGCAGTGTACTGAGTGCGTGCCTGAGGATTTGTTTTGTTTTTAAACAACTGATGTTAACCATAATACATGTGTTGAAAGTATGTGATTTTGTATGTTTGACAAATGTATATTTTTTAAACCATCACTGTTGTTACAAAGATGAATATACATTTTTATTTTTGTACATCTTTGTGTTTTGTTCACTCACTCTTCTCTCCATGTAGCTCCCAATTTGGTTTCTATCAAACATTGATATTTTCTATAGCTATATATAAATGGACTCTTGATATTTTTCTATAGCTATATAAAAATGGACTCTCACATACTCATGTTATATTTAAATTCTTTCAGCAAAATTATTTTTGAGTTTTATTCATGGTACTGACTACATCAATAAATCTTTCCTTTTTTGTAATTGCTTAGTGTTCACTTTATGTTCAACTGATTATATTCATTTGGGTTGATTATAAACAACAAAGACTAGCTGTAGTTGGAATAGCTAGAGCTACTATGAACATTCCCATACAAATCTTTACATGGATATGTGATTTCTCTTCCTGTGAGGTCTACTTAATACAGATGGCTGAGTCAAATGTAGAAAAATGTAGTCAAATGTCTGAAAAAAATTTTTAAAATAAAATAATTAAATTTTGTTTTCTTTTGTTTTATTTATATATTTGTATATGTGACTGTGGGGTGGTTGATGCAGAGGCCTGAAGGGTTGGGTCCCTCTGAAGGTGTCGATGGTTGTGGGCGCTGGGAACTGAACTCTGCTCCTTTGAAAGAACACTGCATGCTGATGGTTGCTGAGCTATCAGTCCCGATTACAGCCCTAATTTTTAAGTAATTGCTGACAGTCTTCTGAACAAGTTGCTTATTTTATATTCCTGCCTGTATTGTATAAGTTCCGTTGCAGTACTGCTAGCACATGGCATAATCTTCTCAAAGTAGCTGTTTTTATGAGTATTTTTATGGCAGTAATTTTTATTTATGTTTAGTGATATTGGGAATTCTTACACTTGCTTACCATGCATATTTGTTGAAGTTCTCTTCAAATCTTCTGCCTATAATATTATTGAGTTTTTTCTTTTGTTAGTTTTTTGTTTGTTTTGTTAGTTTTTATAATTCTTTGTTGTTTGCCCTAGCTAGTTTTTCTTAACTTGATGCAAGTTAGTTATTTGGGGACAGGAACCTCAGCTGAGAAAATGGCTCTAGCATATTGGCAATAGACAAGTCTATAGGCTATTTTCTTTTCTTTTCTTTCTTTTTTTTTTTTTTGAGACAAGGTTTGTCTGTGTAGCCTTGGCTGTCCTGGACTTGCTTTGTAGGCTAGGCTGGCCCCAACTCACAGTGATTCACCTGCCTCTGCCTGCCAGAGTGGTTTTGAAGTTTTTATTTGTTTTTTTTTTTTTAAGATTTATTTTATTTATGTATACAGTATTCTGCCTGCATGTGTGTCTGCATGTCAGAAAAGGGCACCAGATCTCACTATAGATGGTTGTGAACAACCATGTGTTGCTGGGAATTGAACTCAGGACATCTGGAAGAGCAGCCAGTGCTCTTAACCTCTGAGCCATCTCTCCAACCTAGGCTATTTTCTTGATTGATGATTAGTGTGGGAGGGCCCAGCTCAGTAGCTGCTGCTAGGCAGGTGGTCCTGGGTGGTGTAAGAAGGCAGGTTGGATAAGCCATAGGAGCGAGTCACCAAGCAGCATTCCTCCACAGCCCAGGCATAAGTTTCTGCCTTGAGTTCCTGCCTTGACTTTCTTCAGGAACAGAGTATGACCTGAGAGTTGTAAGCAGAAATAAATTTTTGCCTCTCTTGAAGTTGCTTTTGATCATGTGTTTTGTAATAGCAGTAGAAACCTAAGACATCGTATTTTAAATGAGTGTCTAAGTTGCCTGAACTTCCCTTGAATTTAGTGTCTTCCTGCCTCAGCCTCATGCAGAATCTTTATATTAAAAAAAAAACAAAACAAAACAAAAAACAACAACAACAAAAAAACAGATGTAAATCCTTATCTGGTAAATGCTTTGTAAAGTTTTTTTGTCTTTTTAAAATTTCTGTGTGTGTGTGTGTGTGTGTGTGTGTGTGTGTGTTTTGTTTCTCTAGACAGGGTTTTTCTGGGTAGCCCAGGCTGACCTGGAGCTCACTCTGTAGACCAAGCTGGCCTCAAACTCTCAGAGATCTGCCTACTAATACCTCCCAAGTGCTGGGATCAAAGGTGTGCACCATCACCGCCTAGTTGTCATTTTGATTTCTTAAGTAGAAAATTACAAATTTTGCCAGAGTCTGATTTGTTTTTTGTGTTTATTTTGTGTCATATTTAAGATTTTCTCTTATGTTTTTTCATAAATGTTATTTTAGGATTTATATTTAGGTCTATGATATTTTTTTAATTTTAAAAAAGATTTTTAATGTATATTTGTGTTTTGCCTGCATGTTTGTCTATACATGCAGTGCCCACAGAAACCAGGAGAGGGAGTAAGATTGCCTAGAACTGAAGTTCTACAACCTCAGTGTCATACTTAGGAATACCATCCCCCTTCCTTTGAGTCTGGGTTTCCTCTGCCTAGAGCTTACCAATTAGGCTAGTCTGGCCAGTGAGCTCAGAGTCCTGTGTCAGCCTCCTCAGCACCAGGATCATAAGCATATGCTACTATGCTCAGTACATTGGGAAAGGCCAAGGAGGACGACAAGCTTTTGTTTGGCTTCTCCTGTGTAGGAATGGACAGGGTAGGTAGTTATGCCCGGAGTTTTAGTTGGATGATTTAAATTATGGGTTCTAAATGACTAGTGAGCAGTGCATAAGGTGACGGAGCAGGAATAAACACTTGTTAGGAAAGCTTGATGACCTATGTAAAAATATAGGAGAAGAGAATAAACTACATAATTATTCTATGACTTCCACGCGCATCCTGTGGCATAGCATGATCCCATACTGACACAAACAGTTGTACAAATATAATAACAAAGTTAGAAACATCTAAACTATAGAGTTGTCTCTGATAGTCTGTGACTTAGCCACTGGGATGGTTAAGGTAGGGGAATGTTTTCTCCTGGGGTATATAGGCTCTGAATTCTATAGTGTACATATCAAAGATATGCTCCCATTTGAGCATTCTGCTGGCCAGAGAGTGGAAGACTACCCCCAGCCAGGAGTATTTTAAGATGTTAAAAACACCGCAGTATCCAGGCTGGGTGTGGCGGCACACGACTCTAACCCCAGCACTTGGAAAGGCAGATGAAGTGGGATCTCTGAATTTAAGGGCAGTTTGGTTTACATTAGAGAGTTGCACGCCAGCCAGGTCTGTATGGTGAGACTCTGTCTTGAAAAATAAAAGAGAGAAAGAAAGGAAGACGGAAAGAGAAGAAAAGAAACAAGACGGACACAGCGGTGAACTTTGTATTTCCCGGGGCAGTGCAGAGAAACCATGGATCCCTGGACCAAGCTGGCCAGCCTTACACACATGACAAGTCCCTGGCCAGTGAGAAACCCTTTTGGGGAAGGTGGGAGGGTACACACATACAAAAGTGTCTGACACTTGAGCGTGACACTGAAGTTGTCTTCTGGTTTCCATGTGTACACACAATTAAAAAGCAGCCAGGTACAGTGAACAGGTAGAATGGGTGCCTAGGTAGCCAGTAATACGAAATTTCACTGATTAAACAGGGAAATGGAAAATAAAACCATAAGAATACTGTGATATACCTATTAAATTTATAAACAACTATAGACAAAATTATAAATGTTGGCAAAAGATATATGAAAAGGAACTCTTTTTTTTGACACATCTCTTGGATCAGTTATTGGTGCAATTTGTTAATAGCATGTTTATTAGTGTGCCCTAATCAGCAATTTCAGTCCTAGAAAGACTGGATGATACCTACAAGGAGCGACGTATGAGGATCGCTTTTCATAATTATTTAGTAATACTAAAGACTAAGAAACATCCTGATGTTTATAAATTGTGCTGTTCACCCCAAGGTGTTCCTCTGAAACTACTGAAATGAAAGGCAATTTGTAACTATATTGAGACGTGGTGCAGACCTGTATGTAGCACCAAATATTTGGAAGACCTGTGGCCAGAGGATTTGTAAGTTTGAGGCTATATAGTGAGACCCAGTCTCAGAAAAAGATAAAAACAAACTGAAGTAATACTGAATAACAAATGCATCCAGGAAATAACCCGTGTTTATATAAAGGTAAAAATCCTTAGGGTGTTGTTTATGTGTGTACACATTATTTACTTCTGATGAACTTTAGCTGTAGGGACAGTCCCCTTTGGAAAAGGCAGTCTTGGAATGTAGGATGCACATAAAAGCACTCATTGTTTTGTGCAGAATACTATGCTGGATAGTTTTTATGTCTACTTGACATAATACTTGACTTGATAGTTTTTATGTCTATCTGAGGTATTTCAAAATTGCCTCTATAAGATCAGGCAGTAGGCAAGCCTCTAGGACGCTTTCTTAAGTAGTGATTGATGTGGGAGGGCCCAGCCCATTGTGGGAGGTGCCATCCCTGGGCTGGTGGTTCTGGGTTCTATAAGGAAGCAGGCTTGCAAGCCATGAGGAGCAAGCCAGTAAGCAACACCCCTCCATGGCTTCTGCCTTAGCTCCTGCCTTTGGATTCCTGCCCTGACTACATTCAGTGATGGACTGATGTGGAAGTGTAAGCCAAATAAACCCTTTCCTCTCAATTTGCTTTTGGACCTTGTGTCACATCATAGCAAGAATAGCCCTAACTAAGACAAATACATGTTAAAACTTTTATGTGTGCACATAACATTAACTTAAAAGCATACCCTGCTTTAGGTTGTATATTCATGCAATCCTAGCACTTTAGAGGCCGAAGCTGAAAGATTGCCTTGAATTCAAGGTCAGTTTGGGCTGCATAATGAGTTCCAGATTAGCATGGGCTACAGAGTAAGAACCTGTTTCAAAATATAAAAAAAGGGGGTGGGGTGAAGAGACCTGGTCAATGCTGACACTTAAAAATGTGAATGACAGAATATATAACACACTTGTAGGGTTTGTTTTTTGGCCCTTTTATAATTTACCCATATCTTCATTATACTGATCACATGGTATCATTATTTATAAAACCAAGGCTTCATGTCTTGATGTCTATCATATTGCTCTATTCTAAAGTGCTATAAGCTATGGTTACTCAAAAGATGTAAACCCAGTTGAAATGACTGTGTTAACTTCTGTCACTGTGACAAACTACTTAAGAGAAAAGCTTATTTTCATACTGTTTCAGAGGGTTTGGGAGTCTATGGCAGGGCAATATGTGTGTCATGCTGCAAGAAACCTGTTTAACTTTTGGCATTTGGGAATGAAGGAAGTGGCCAGGGTTCTAACATGCCCTTCGAGACATGATCTAACTTTCATCCATTGGAATTCATATCTTAAATGTTCTGCCACCTCCAGTAGCTCTATAGATTGTTGGCAGTCTTTAGCACCAGGCTCTTTGGGTAAGTTGAATATCATCTATAGGGAATTTTGTAGTTGAATTTGTTTGCTAGAGGCGTCTTGACAAAATTCCACAAAATGGGATCTTTGAACAATAGAAATTAATCTTGTCATAGTTCTAGATGCTGGCTGTTCATGGCTAAAGTGATAGCCATGATAGGTTTCAGTTTTTCCTGAGGTCTCTTGCTGTGCCCTATAGATAATTGCTCCCTCACTTGTCTTTTGGGATTTTGTATGCTGAGAACTCTGGTTACTTTATTTTGGCTCAATGAACTCTTCAGATACAGTTGAGGACTAGGGGTTTGGGCCTACAGTTATATAAATTTGTAGGTGATGAAAGATATAGCCCACAATAATACATAGTAACAAAGCTGCCTCATAATCTTAACAGGAGTTGAACAGCAATGGTAGATACTATTCCAAATTATCGTGTAAACTGCTAGAAATGCAGACTAGTTTTACTGTATTAAAAACCCAGAGTCTTTTAACTGTTATGCATGTTTTAACTACATTAGATTTCTCGTTCTCTTTTATAAAGGATTTATTTTATGTCTGTCTATTTGAGTGCCTGCATGTATGTTTGTGTACCACAAGCATTCCTGCTGCTTGAGAGGCCAGAAGAGGAGGTAGAATCTCTTGGAACTGAAGTCATAAGCTGCTTTGAGTCACCATGTAGGTGCTGGGAACCAAACCCAGGTCTCTGCAAGATAAGCAAGGGCTCTTAACTGCTGGTGTCACTCCAGCCCCACCACATTTCTCATTTTTATCTCTGACTTAATATTTCAAGAACTGATAAGGTTGTGCATGTGTGATAGCAGTATTTCTGTTAGCTGTATATAATTAGAAATGCTTATTGTTAAACATGTAGAACTTGAGTATCTGTCTCCTCATTAATATATAAAGTAGTTTAACTATTTCAGTGTGACAATATATTTAGTTATTTATTTTTTAATTTATCCCTAAAGTGGGAAGAAAAAGTTCATTAAAATCACATAAATTCAATAATTTAACTGTTAAAATGCAAACCTAGATTCTGCAAAGATTCTTAATTTCCAAACCTACTTTGAAATTTAAACATTTTTTTTTAATTTATTTTATATGTATGTGAGAATTTCTGCTTGTGTACGTACACATGTGTACCTGGTGCTCAAGGAGGCCAAAGGAGGCATTAGATCCCCTGTAGCTGGAGTAATTGAAAGTTGTGAGTCACATTGTGGGTGCTGGGAACTGAACCTTGGTCCTCTGCAAGTGCTAATGCTCTTAACAACAGAAACATGTCTTCAGTCCCTATCTTTTAATTTTTGAGAGTCTCATGTAAGAACCAGAACTGGCTGACCTCAATTACCTCATGTAACTGAAGGTTGACCTTGAATTTCTAATCCTCCCCTTCTCAAGTGCTGGGATTGCAAGTATGTGCAAACAGGCTCACTTTCTGATGAGTAATGGGTTGAACTTAGGGCTCCTTGTATGCTAAGCAAGCACTGTTACCAGTCCAGTTACATCCCTACTCTTGAAAGTTATTTTTTTTCTTAATTTTGTTTTTTCATTAAATAACCAGATTAGTGTTGTTTTAAAATTTTTATTTTTAATACATTTTAATTAAAATATAAATATATCACATACTCTTTTTTTTTTTTTGCTTCCAGCCCCTCCTATGTTTCCTCTCTTCAACTTGTCCCAAGCCTCTCATTGGTTAACAATAATAATTTATTATTATTATTAGGGTGTGTGTGTGTTAAACTCAGCTTGAGTCCATTTTTGTTGTTTGTGTGTATATGATTTCAGGGCTGAATGTTATATTGGATAACCACTTAGGTGGCTCATCCCTTGGAGAGGGTAATTCTCTCAATAGTCATTAGTTGCCTGGCTGGTCTGAAACTGGCAATGTAGACTAGGCTAGCCTTGAACTTGATATGCTTGTCTCTGCCTTCCAAGCAATAAGATTAAAGGTATGCACCACCACACCTGATTCCAGTTTTTCTTAATTAAGATTCTTTCATTTATTTTGAGACAAGAGTTTCATTATGTACCCCTGGCTGACCTCAAACTTGATATGTAAACCAAACTGGCTTGGAACTGGCTGTGTAGACTTGACTGGCATAAAACTCAAATCCTCCTGCCTCTGCTTCTTAAATTCAGGAATTAAAGGTGTAGACTGCCATGCCTGTCCTTTTTTATTAAAAATTTGGAAATGCCTTTGAACACTATTTTTGTTAGTTGAGATACTGTTTTTTGCCCTCTCTCACAGTTGCGGTCTTGCAGTAAGAGTGAATTGATATCTAAGAGCTCAGAGATCCTAATGATGTTTCAGCAAGTTCACCGAAAGCCCATGGCATCCTTCGTTACCACGCCTGTTCCACCAGACTTTACCAGGTATAACAGTTTTAAATTTTAATTTCCATTTTTTATTTATATAACAAGGTAGATACTTGAGTAAGCTATAGTGACAATTTTGGAATTTTGGTTTCTTTAAAACACACAGAAAAAAGCTGGGCGTAATGGCATATGCCTTTAAATCCCAGCACCCAGGGAAGCAGAGTCAAGTGGATCACTGTGAGTTTGAGGTCAGCCTGGTCTACAAAGCAGGTCCAGGATAGCCTGGGCTACACATAGAAACCCTGTCTTGAACAACCAAAAACAATTTTTTTTTTTTTTTAACCAGAGCTCTAGTTTCATAGAAAACAGCAATTCTTAATAACTTCTTTAATGTCTACTCTTTCTTTCCTTCTTTGTGTGTGGATGGGAAGTCGTTTCTGAATGCTGTGGTGCTTATGGGGGTCAGCTTAGGGAGTCTGTTCTCTCTTTTCACCATTGTGTATAAGGAATTGAATTCCAAGATGGTCAGGTTTTGCAGTAAGTGCCTTTACATGTTGAACCCCCTTGAAGGCACTAGTCATTCTTTCATTTACCTTTTAAGTCAGTGTGTATATTGTTAATCAAAACTTGAAAGTAAATAGACTACTAAAAGGTTTTGAAGGAGACGTAGTACCTCTGGATTTTAAAAGAAGTGGAAGGAAGCAATTAACAGAAAGTTTGTAATCTTGATATCTTTTTTTGATTTTTCAGATTGGGTTGCATCTTCAGATTCTTCTCAGCCGCATAAAAATTAACTATTAGTCCCTAGTCAGTTTCAGATATCTGGGAGAAATGGTCTAGTTGTGAAGGGAAACTAGATTTTATGTAGCCCATACAGTGGATGCCTTTGGGTCTTCTTTTCTTCCCTTGTTCATGATGTTTTGATAGAATCAGTGATCTAAACATTTAAAGATCTGTGACTTGTAGCTTACCAGGATAGAGAGATGGTTTAAAGCTTATTTCTCATGTTCTGTGAAAACAGATGAATTGACACCACTGTGACATGAATGTATTTGTAAAGTCCAGAGTAATCTTAGAAAAATAAGGGAACCAGTCAAAGCTAAAGCAGGGCTGAGACGGAGAGACCATGAGATCATGTGCTACATATTGTATAACCCTGTCTTTATTGAAGTTCCAAAGCACTGATCTGTTACACTACCTATGCATGGAACTTTTCGTGTAAGAAGTAAACATGTAGTATGCTGGTAGGCTTTTGTCAACATGATACAAACCTAGATATATCTAGAAAGCAGCAACTTAAGTTGAGAAAAATCCCTCTACCTCATTGGTCTCTACGCAAATCGTTAGGGCATTTTTTTGGTTAATGATTGATGTGAGAGGGTCCAGGCTACTAGTGTCACTCTTAGCAATACTCCTCCATGGCCTCTGCTTCAGTTTCTGCCTTCTAGGTTCCTGCCCTACGATTTTGACTTGATTGTCCTCAGAGGCAGACTAATTGTAAGCTAAAACCCTTTCTTCCCCAAGTTGCTTTTGGTTATGGTATTTATCCCAGCAATAGAAACAGAAATGTCACAATACCCTTGGAAAGACAGATGAATTTTCTGTGTTCTGAATCTGGCTTATAGCAAAAACAACACATGTCACTAGAATAAGCCCATAGCAAAAGAAACAACATATAGATCTGTAGATAACATAATTGGTTGAAGTCTTTACATTTTGGAGGATATAGTGAGTTGGTGGGTAAACTAACAATGATTATATATTATCCAGCATGATAGCCAAAAATATGTTACTTTTGGTTGAAATTTGAAGACTATTTTAAGATGATCCACTTAGAGTTCTCATTAAGTCTATGGTCTCTTAAAAAGCTTTCCATTGGTCTTGCTAATTGGGGTTTTGTATATTGAGTGCTAGAATATGTACTTGGGAAACATTACATCAGGCTTCTGGGTGTTTAACTTTTTATGAAGGGGTAGTCAAGATTCATCAGGCACCAAGATAGAGAGGTACAGAATGTGAGCCCTGTAATAAATACCAACAGCTGACTAGGGATTTGATAGGACTTGGTATGGTCAATTTGGATAAAAACTGTGTGGATAACTGTCATAGGGCAAAGTACATCTTCCTATGCTGGATAATATGTAATCTATTTAGATAAATTTGTTCTTTTATTGTTTTTGAGACAGGGCCTTACATACATAGGCTTGTCTTAGACATGCTGTTTTTACTGAGGCTAGACTTGAATTCTTTGTGTGTGTATGTGTGTGTGTGTGTGTGTGTGTGTGTCTTATTTTGCGACAGGGTTTCTCTACATAGCCTTGGCTGTCCTGCACTTTTATTTGTAGACCAGGCTAGCCTCGAACTAACTCACAGCCATCCGCCTGCCTCTGCCTCCCAGTGTGCTGGGATTAGGTTTGAACTCTTGATCCTTCTGCCTCTGCCTTCTATGAGATGCATGATCATCACCATTAATCTTATTTAGATAAACTTTAAAATGTTTTTATTTGTACTAACATGGTTACACAGCAAACCACATATTACTGTAGGTAGAGTTTTATTCAATTTATAATCGTAACAATTATGACAACGTATTATAAAATAGTGCATAATATAGCTTTATATTAAATGGTGTTTTGCGACAATGCCACAAACCATCCACATGATCTAAGGGTAGTTGGCAGCACGATATATTACCCTTTAGCTCATAGTGTGCTTACAGTTTAGTTCTCTTAGGACAAGGTTATATGGAATTTAAGCTAGTTGTCATCTTACCTTGCCAAGAAAGTGTAACTGTGCTGATCCATCTCAGATGTACCCTGAAGCATATATTCTAATCCTGTAAACATCTAGGAGAGCTGGGCTATAGCTTAGTGATGGAGTGCTTGCTGAGCATGCTGGAGGTCCCCAACAGCTAACCATACAAAGTAACCAAAATGTATAGGGGATATTTGCTAACTTTGAAGTAAGTATTTGTTTTATTTCTATTCTAATTACAAACTTGATGGTTTTATGAATTGATTTGATTTAATGTTCTGCTTAATAAATACTGGAACTTTATTGAGGAACTTGCTTTTTAACTAAATGGAAATTATAACTAAAAATAATGCTTGATTTTTTTTTTTTTTTCCTTTTGTTTCTTTTTAGTGAATTGGTTCCATCTTATGATTCAGCTACTTTTGTTTTGGAGAACTTCAGGTAAGACATGTTGAAAACTCTGAGTTTGTTATGTGCAAAAGTAAGATTCAAGACAGTGTCCTTATGGGGCAGGGGAGAGCTAGTGAAGACCTTAACTGAAGTTTCCTCTTAGAAGCAGAGCTGATCTGGAGTGTGTGTGCTGAGCTTCATTTCTCATCTCAAAGGGCAGAAATATTTTTATTTCAGAGGGTTAAAAATATTTGCACCTAATGCTTGGTGTGATGGTGCACATACCTTTAATACTCCGGAAGGCAGAGGCAGGCAAATCTCTGAGTTTGAGGGTAGCCTGGTCCACAGAGCTAGTTCTAGGACAGCCAGAACTACACAGAGACACCCAGTCACAACAACAAAAACAACACTACAACAACAAAAGGCACATAGAAAATGAGATATCTTGGTTATGTAAGGTTCAGTCTAGAGCAAAATGTATTTTTGTTTCATATATACATTATAACACATAACATAAAGATAATTCCGTATAGTATCTTTAGTGACTGTGCTTTGACCATTTTGTGTGGCATGAAGTTGGACATATAATTTCTTTGCTGAATCTTAAAAGTGTTGGAATTTGGAATATTTGGATTTCAGATTTATAGATTAGGAGTGCCAAATTTGTATTGTCAGGACTGGTTGTTTCTTTTTTTTTTTTTTAAATGTTTTTTCTTTTTTCTTTTTTTTTTTTTAAGATTTTTATTTATTTATTTATTTATTCATTCATTCATTCATTCATTCATTCATTCATTCATTCATTCATTCATTTATTTATTTATTTATTTATTTATTTATTTATTTATTTATTTATTTATTTATTACATATATATTACACAGTGTTCTGCCTGCACACCAGAAGAGGGCACCAGATCTCATTATAGATGGTTGTGAGCCACCATGTGGTTGCTGGGAATTGAACTCAAGACCCTTGGAAGAGCAGCCAGTGCTCTTAACCTCTGAGCCATCTCTCCAGCCCCCCTGGTTGTTTCTTTAGTTCAGGAAAAGAACCTTTTGTTCTGCTTTTCAAAATAGGGTTTCTCTGTGTAGCCCTAGCTGTCCTGGAACTTATTCTGTACACCATGCTCTTCTTTGTAGACCAGGCTGGCCTTGAACTCAAGGATCCACCTGCCTCTGCCTCCCAAGTCCCGGGATTAAAAGTGTGCTCCACCAACGCCTGGCACACCTTTTTAATTGGTATTTAAAATTATGTGTGTCTGTGTATGTATGTGTGAATGTAGGTGTCCAAGGAGTCCGGAAGAGGGTTTCAGATTCCTTGAGGCTGGAGTAATAGGCAGTTGTAAACTACTTAATGTAGGTGCTGGAAACCGAACTCGGGTCCTTTGAAAGAACTCTAAATGCCCTTAACTGCTGAGGTCTCCAGCTGTAAGTTTGTGTGTGGCAACATCCTGTAGTGTCCTGGAATCTTGTCAAGTACAGGCTTGCAGGCAGGCCAGCAAGGCCTAGGATGCATATGATTCCACCTTCTCTGTGTTGGGCTTGCCATGCAAGCCATTGTGGCTCACAGTTCTTTAGGTTCTGGGGATTGATTCAGGTCTCTGTGCCTGCAGAGAACCTTTATACACCAGCCTCCTCAGCCTGTTCTCTCTGTTTTTAGCTGCAATTTCGCAGCTAAAGTCTTGCTGAGTTTTCCCTACAAATGTTAAGGATTGACGCACACTGCTGTTTCTCCATTAAAAACATGCTATACAGAAGTGGTCTGTGTTGTTTTATTTGATCCTTTTTGGTGCTTAATATTTGAGCTGTGTATAAGCTATACACATGCTGTGTGCCATTAGGTAAATCTGTAACTCTAGTTTACCAGAACCTGGCACCGTCTTCACTGGGTTTCGTTTTGGAAATAACAGTGTGCTTACTGACGTATAGTTAAATTGGGTACTTAGTGGTGCTTTGATTCCCTACATGGCACAGCTATTGAGTTCTTACTGGGTTTTGATTGAGACCGAAAAGATAATGCTGAATGTTTTTCAGTATCATTAATTCACAATGTAAATATGTCCAAGCTTATTTAATGATGACTTGTTCACTCACTTTCTGTTGTTCAGTATTTTAAATATTAACCTAAGGTGTGTAGTTCGTTTTGGTTTTGCTTGTTGCCATTTCGTAATAGTTTTGATGTTGAACTTTGGTTGGTTTTCTTCTTTAGCACTTTGCGCCAGAGAGCGGATCCTGTTTACAGCCCGCCTCTCCAAGTTTCAGGTCTTTGCTGGAGGTTAAAAGTTTACCCAGTAAGTTTTTTTATATTTCTAAGTTCAACTCAATTTTGAACTTTTCTTTAGTGTTTTGAAGTATATTAGTTTACTTATTAAAGAAGTAAGGAAATTAGTAATTTTCTATTTCTTTATGCCATTTATTTGTGGAAAAATATGTTAAATGTGAGTGTATAAACTGTAGCATCAATAAGTTTTACTTCTGGTTTATAGAGAGATACATACATTTAGAAGAAAGTTTTAGAGGCTGGAGAGATGGGTTAGCAGTTTAGAGCAATTTGCTCTTACAAAGGACTGAGGTTTGATTTCCAGCACCCATGTGGTAGCTCACAACCATCTGTAACTCCAGTTTGAAGGGATCCTTCACACTCTTCTGACTTTCAAGGGTACCAGGCACACGTCTGGTACACAGACATACATGCAGTCCAAACACAGATATAAAGCAAATAAATCTAAACAAATTTCAAAGATGTTTTTCAGTTTTTCCTTTCTTTTGAGACAGGGTTTCTCTCTGTAGCCCTGGATGTCCTGGAACTCACTTTGTAGACCCGGCTGGCCTTGAACTCAGAGACCCTCCTGCCTCTGCCTCCTGAGTGCTGAGATTAAAGGCATATACCATCATTGACCAGGTTGTTTTTTATTTATTGTTGTTGTTTTTAAATTCATTCTGTATTTTTGCTTGCTTGCTTGCTTGTATGTTTGTGTACCCCAGTGGTGCCTGGTGATGAGAACGTTGGATCCTCTACTAAAGTTACAGGTGTTAGTAAGCCACTATGTAAGTGCTGGAAATTAAAAATACTTTAAATATCATGAAAAAATGTAAAAAATGATCACTTAAAGAGTGTCATGTAGTTCACTTGCAGAGTGCTTATCTGCCAGAGTTCTTATTTACCCAGCACTCCACAAGAAAGTCACAGGTCCTGAAAACCATTAAAGATCTGCTGATTGAATTTAATGGACAGTGGAATATAGAGATATTGTTAGGCTTCTTTTCATACATTATTTTTGTTTTTTATGTGTATGTGTTAGTGCCTGTATGTATGTATGTATGTATATCACAGGTAAGCATGGTGCTCTTGGAGGCCAGAAGAGGACATCAGATCCCCTGGAATTGGAATTATAGGTAGTTGTGACACACCATATTGAATGCTGAAAATTGAACTTAGGTCCCCTACAAGAGCATCAAATGCTCTTAACTGCTGAGCAGTTGCTCCACGTCCCTTCACCCTTTTTTTTTTTTTTTTTTTTTTTGAGGCAGGTTCTTACTATCTGGCTCAGGCTGGTCTAACTCTTTGTTGTAATTCAGGTTAATCTTGAACTCATAATTCTTCTGCAGTAGCATTTGGAGTGCTGGGATTAGTCTCTTGCCTGCTGCGCACATGTTTTGCAGTATTAGTAGTCATTTTTTTGTGTTATTTCTTTTCCACTTATTGGTTGGATCTGTATATAATCTCACTGAGTTAGTGCCCAGGTTTTTTTGCCATGATCTTAGTGGATGGAAGTGATTCTAATATTTTTTTTTTTCTTTTGCTTCTTGTGTATGATAAGATAACCTAGGATCATTCTGGGCATTTATTACTCTATGTCATAGTCACATCATTTTCCCATTATCATTTTTTGTAATTTTGTAATTTTACTTTAAATGTTTGAACATTTCTTATTTCTCTGCGCATTTTCCTTTGCATGTATGTCAGTGCACTCACGTGCATCATTAGCCTCCATGTGGACGCTGGGAATCAAACTTTGCTCCTCTGGAGAGGAGCCATTTTCTCTTCGCTCCATCTCTCCACCCCCACCTTTACACCAACAAAGCATGAGCGGTATGGTGTGGCTCAAAGCTTTTAATTTGCTCGACACTATTTACAAAGAGCAGTCTGTTTTGCCATTCCCAAGCCAACACAGTAAAGGAGATCTTTCCTAGCCAGGAATGTTCCTCAGCAACTTTGGAACATTTGTTCCTTTGAAACTTAAAGGCTATTTCATGAATCTTGCCAACTGTGTCAATGATGTCTTATATGTAGCTAGACTTTCTGTTTTGACTGAGTGAATATTACTTATAGAGCAAGCAGAAATAAAAGGATAAAGAGCAAGTTACAGATAGAGAGTTGCAGCAGATAAATAGGAAAACACCATGAAATCAGGAGTTTACAACATTCTACAGGTAAGCTGGAGTAGCTTGACTGAGGGAGCAAAGTTAACGTGGAGTTGGAGGCTTTCAGACTTCCAGCAGAAAGTGACTAGGGAAGCAGATAGAGCTTAATGAACCAGTGAGTTCGTTGGAGAAGTGTGGATAAGGGTTTACTTACAAGAACATGAGTGACTCAGTCAGTGGCGTCGCTGAGAGGCCCACAGACGTATGGAAGTTGCATCCCTGGCGTTCCCTGTGTGACTTCCAAGCAGTGGACAAGTGGGAGCATTTCTTCTCCCCAACAACTGTTCACTGCTTTGACAACCCAGCAGAGATGGAATGTGGATTTTTTTTTTTCCAGTTTGTAAGTTTTAGGAGTTTTTTGAGACTTGTAAATTTTGTTTACTTTGGAGTCTTAGGAACCGAAATGGAGCTTTGGAGGGTAGAATGTTTCAGTTTGGAGGACATGTCTCTACTTCCATCAATCCAGAGGCAGAGGCAGAGACAGATGTTTGAGACCAGCTTAGTATATATGGGAGTTTAGGGCCAGTTAGGAATATGCAATGATACCCTATTTCAAAAATAAAACAGAGGCAGTTTTGAGTTCAAGTCAAGTGTGAGCCTTATAGTGAATTCCATGCTAGCCTTCACTATCTATGAGATCTGTCTGAAAAACTAAATAAACCTTGAAATGCTCATCTTTAAGCAACTCTCTGCGTTCTACTCCTCCCAGCCTTTGATGGCCCTATTCTGTATTTTGTTTCTGTGAATTTGACTACTGGAGATACATAAGTGGAATGAATCATTTAGTAGTTTATTGTGACTGGCTTATTACACTCAGTATAATGAGTATGATATCCTCAAGGTTCATCCTTTTATAAAAAAATTTTTGTAGCATTTCATTGATAATGATGAATAATAGTCTGTTATATGCATATTTTACATTATTGTTCACTTATTTTTCTTATTTTTCACTTATTTTTCATCCTTTTTTGAGACAGGCTCTTACTGTGTACTCAAGCTCCCTTCCTGTCTCGGGTGCTGTTAACACAGAGTGCCACACATCTCTTTAAGAAAATGTTTTCAGGTATTCCAGTAGATAAATATTCACAAGTAGAATTACTGGGTCATAAAGAAATTCTTATTTTTTAAGGAAACCGCATTTGACACCATTTGCACATTAGTATCAACAGTGCAAGAATGTTTTATTTTCTTAATGGACTTGTCATTTTTTTACATTTGTGGTTTTTTGTTTGTTTGTTTGTTTTGTTTTTCTAGACAGGGTTTCTCTGTGTAGCCTTGGCTGTCCTGGAATTCACTCTGTAGACCAGGCTAGCCTTGAACTCACAGAGATATGTAAAAGAAACTTTTATTCGCTGGTTTCAGTTGTTGTTTTGAAGGATTATATTACTCTGTCTGCTAACCTAGGCCTATTCTTGGAAGCGTCTAGCCTCTGTACAATCAATCTAACCTAGGCCTAGATGTTTTCAGCCCCTGAGACTTGCTGCTTAAATAGCTTACCCTTTCTAGCTCTTATTGTGCTAAAATCTGGGTTTTTGAAATTTTCTTATTGGTTTTTAAGCTTAAGCACACTGCTTACCCAATTATCAAATGTTCATCTGTGTTCAATTGGCTTCATTGTTGCATTATAGTTTTATGTTGAGTTTATCTGTACTTTGTTTTGCATAACCTTTCTTTTTTTTAAGGATGGAAATGGAGTTGTACGTGGCTATTATTTATCTGTATTTCTGGAACTATCAGCTGGCTTACCTGAAACTTCCAAGTAAGTGATGTAATTATTTATTTCAATACAAATTTCCATGGTTCATGTCTTAGTTAGGATTTTTATTGCTATGACAAAACACCATGACCCAAAAGCAAGTTGGGAGGAAAGTTTATTCAGCTTATACCTTCATATCTGTGTTGATTACCAAAGGAAGTCAGGACAGGAACTCACCTAGGGCAGGAACCTGCAGGCAGGAGCTGATGCCGAGGCTATGAAGGGGTGATGGTTATTGCCTTGTTTCCCATGGCTTGCTCAGCTTCCTTTCTTACAGAACCCAAGACCAGCAGCCCAGGGATGTCACCACATTACAGTGGGCTGGGCCCTCCCTCATTGATCAATAATTGAGAAAATGCCTTACAGCTGGATCTCATGGAGGCCTCTTCTCAATTGAGAGACTCTTCTCTGATGAATCTAGCTTGTGTCAAATTGAAATAAGACCAGCCAGTGCACATCAGCTCAACAATTGTTACGAAATGCTTTCATTTATCTATCTATCTATCTATCTATCTATCTATCTATCTATCTATCTATCTATCTATTTACCTATCTATCTATCTATCTATTTATTTATTTATTTATTTTGAGATAGGGTGTCCCTGTTTAGCTTTGAATTGATAGTTTTCTGACTCAGCATCTCATGTGCTGGGCTTATAGATGCGTGCCACTATTCGTGATTTGTATTGTCTTCTCTCTTCCTCTCCCTTCCCTTCTCCTTTCTCTTTCTGTAGTTCTGGGGATCAGACACAAGGCCCTGTGCAGATGTTCTGCTGCTGAACTGTATCCATAACCCTTAGGTTTTGTTTTTTTTGCTTGTTTGTTTGGTTTTTTGGTTTGAGTTTGAGATGGGATCTTACTATGTAGTCCAGACTGGTCATGAATTCCCTATGTGTGTAGCATAGGCTGGTCTAGAATTTGAAATCATTTTGTCTCTACCTACAACCTGCTTAGATAATAGGAGAGTGCTACTCTGCCCAGTTTTGATTGTTAATTCTGTGAAGGATGTACATAGCTGTAGAGTCTGCAGTCTCTTAAGCTGGTATGGAGTGGCAGTTCTTGTAACTATTTTCTCTTGATACCCTGTTTATTATTCACATTTATTGATAAACTGAAGAGGTTTTCTTCATACAAACTTTATCATTGTCTCCAAGTGATAAAAGTAAAAACTGTACCACAGTAAAAACGTCAGTAAACTGGCTGGTGAAATGGCTTAGTCAGTAAAGGTACTTTCTGCCAAGTCTGACAACCTGACTTTAATTTTGGAACCGACACTGGAAGGAGAGAGCCAACTCTTAGTTGTCTCCTGAGCTGTACATACATACACATAGAAAATGTATATGAAGTGATTAAATGTTTGTGTTTTTTTAAGTCTCTTGTGAGCCAGGCATGGTAAATGACTTTAATCTTAACAGGTAGAATTAGGCAGATTTCTATACGTTCCAGGACAGCCAGGGCTACACAGAGAAAACTTGTCTTGAAAAAACAAAACAAAACAAAAAGTCTGTTGTGTATTTACCTATTTTTCATGAAAAGTAACTATTTTTCCTAAATATATTTTGTAAAATATTTTATTTTATAACTGTGATAGAACGTCATGGCCAAGGAAACTTTTGGAAGGAAGAGTTTATTTGGGTTTATGGTTTCAGAGGAATAAGAGTCCATCACCATCATGGTGGGGGAGTGTGGCATCAGAGAGGAAGGCAGCTGGAGCAGCTGAGTGCTCATATCTTCAGTTACAGTAGGAAGCAGAGACTGAATTAAGTTCAAGCCTTAAACCTCAAAGCCTGCCTTAGTGACAAACTGTTGACAAACTGTTCAACAAGGTTCCTCCCAAGTTTCCCAAAACAGTGCCACCAACTAGGACCAAGCATTCAAATGCTGAGACTGTAGGACATTTATCGAATAAAGCACCATACTGTTGCTTCACAATTTTGAAAATCTTTTTACAGTGGCTTAAATTTAAGATTTTTTTAAAATTAATTTATTATGTATATAGTGTTCTGCATGCATGTGTGCCAGCAGGCCAGAAGAGGGCACTAGATCTCATTATAGATGGTTGTGAGCCACCATATGGTTCCTCGGAATTGAACTCAGGACCTTTAGGAAGGGTACCCAATGTTCTTATCCTCTAAGCCATCTCTTCAGCCCCCCAAATTTAAGATTTTTATATCTACTTATATACTTAATTTTTGAAAATATATGTCTAATTTCATGTGGTATTTTCATGTATAAAATGCATATATATTTTTATTATTATTATTATATTTGCTCTCTATTACTCTCTTTCTTTCCTCTCCAACTCCGAGTCTCTTCTTTTTAGGTAGTCCCCATTTTACTTTCATGTCTTTTTGTAGCCCAGTGAGTTATAGTTAGGGCTGCTTTGCAAGAACATGGGAAGGAGGTTATTTACAAAAATATGAGCACCTTATCAGCAGCTACTCCACTGAATAAGTCTCTCCCTCACCCAGCAGCCATTCCTTGGCTAGAAATCATCAAGGAGGGTGGAGCCTTATAAGACAGGGATTTTTTTATTTTTTATTTTTATTTATTTATTTTTTTTTTGCTTTTGCGCCAAGTAACTTAAACTGTCCTTGAACTCATGATCCTCCTAACTCAGCCTCTTGAACTTCAGTTCTCAACCGGTGGGTCAAGACCTCTTTAGCAAACTTATGTCTCCAAAAATAAATATACCCTGATTCATAATAGTTTCAAAAATTATAGTTAAGAAGTAGCAGTGAAAATAAATTTATGTTTGGGAGTCCCCACAACATGAGGAACTGTACTAAAGGGTCACAGCATTAGCTGAATTTTGAGTGCTGGAATTAACAGTTGTGTGCCACCATATTTGGCCTCAATAATGTATCCATCATTTGCTACTTTATAGATTCTTCTTTCTTTCACCCTTCTCTACCTCCTTTCTTCTAGTCTTTCAACCCCCTAACACTAGATAAGAGAAAAAAGGATAGAGAGGAAAGGAAAGAAATCCCTGAATAAAGTCAGGAGTTGGAAAGTGGGCGACATTATTGTTAGACTACTTTCTTCTGATTAGGGCCATTGAGTTCCTTGGGGCAAATTTGATATTCACTGGCAGGATATCTAATTTCTTCTTGTTTCTTCTTTGCATATAACTACTTAACAAGCTACAACCAACAACCCCCCTCCCCCTTAAAAGTTGCTAGAATTCCAAATATCACATAGCCACAGAAACTATCAGCATCTGGCAACATCATGGTTTGGTATGAACCTTCTGCTTACAGATAAAAATGGAATAAGAAGGATAAGATAAACATTTCTGCTGTAATGATACATGATACAACATTTTCTGGATAAAGTACCTAGTGAAAGTAGTTTTCCCAAGATATGATTAACTCTGTTATTCTTCCTTAAATCCATGAACATTTTTTTCAGTGCAGTATATGAAAGGAGAAGTGAGATACAATCAGTCTAGGAATACCAACAAAGCTAGGTGTAGTAGGTAGGATACCCAGAGATGTTAGGGCTCCAGACAAAAATCTAGAGATGATGGCAGATTCCTCTTTCATGTTTAGCAGAGTTCTAAATAGGACTTCAGAAAAGTAAGGGAAGAGATTGGGGGATGAACCTTAGGAAAGCGTAGCAGGGAGTAATGAGTGGTTGGTGCTTTCCAAGGGTCCAAGCACTGTCCCTGTTTCTATCAGCCACAGGAAAGAAACTTGTAATAAATGGGGCATACGGTAGAGCACTGAGGAAGGCTTTTGTTTTGTAATGGGGAGCAGTAAGATCTAAACTGAATGCTGTGCTGAGCCCACCTCACAAATGAAAACAAGACTCATCATAAAAATTAAAATTAAAAAAAAAATTTCAGGTAACTTAACTGCACCCTGGACATTAGGACATTGGATTCAATTATAAAGGAATCCATTAAAGTAAAATATTTAACGGCAGATAAAAACAAATAGAGGAAAAAAAACAAATCATCAAATAAATGAAGAAAATCAGTTGAAATTAGCCTCTGGTACAGATCTTAGAATTTCAAGAGAAAGACAGTTATAATTATATTTTGTTGGGAGCAAGGCCAGTCCAAGGCTGTTTTAGAGCCACTCAAAGGATGAAGTAAATGTCAGTTCTGTGCCCAGAGGCAGACTTTGCAAGGTCCAGTCTGTAGCTGGGGCCAGGGCATGGAGTGTTTTCAGTTTCTGGGACCCCGACTTTTCCCTCTGTGGAGACTGGAATATCAGTCCCAAGGTCTGTGATGCACTTGATATCTTTGTTACTTCTATGCAACATTGTGTGATTAGCTTCCTGCTGTCTTAGCCCCATGGAATGAAAAATTTCTGCTGATTCCGTCCAGTTTTTACCCTATACACTGTATGTACTCTTTGCTTCTTATACTGCTTTTGTTTGTTTTGAGACAGGGTCTTTCTACACAGCCCTGGATGTCCTAGAGCTCCCTTTTGTAGATCATATTGGCCTTACACTCACAAGGATGTGCCTGCCCATGTACTGAGATTGAAGGCGCATGCTGTAACTTTCTATTCAGAGTGTTTCCTCAGAGGACACTGCTCAGCTGATGGTTCTCTCCTGCCACTTTCTTTCTTGCCAGCGGAGGTGTGGATTAAACTGATGTAGACAACAGACTAACTAGATAGGTTTACTAATAGATTTAGCCAAAATGGTAATACAAAAGAATTCCAAAAATTGTAGAATAGTGTTAAACAGCTTACTACAGACTCCTGAAGTTCTTTTTATGAGACTTAATGAAGACCTGGAATTTGGGTGGCTGGAAAGATGGCTCTGAGGTTAAAAGCACTGGTTGCTCTTTGAGAGATTCTGAGTTCAATTCCCAGCAACCACTTGTGCTTCACAACCATCTATGAAATCTGATGCTCTCTTCTGACTTGCAGGCATATATGTAAGCAGAACAGTGCATACACAATAAATAAATAAAGAAATAAAGAAATAAAGAAATAAAGAAATAAAGAAATAAAGAAATAAA